AAGATAGATATCTAAAATATTTAAAATAGATATTATAATTCTACCTTTAACTAGCTTACTTTTATTATTATTAAGATTATATTCTAGAGTTATCTTATTTTAGCTTACTAGAGGTTTAGGGATACCTTTTACCTAATTTTACCTTATTATTTCTAGGTTTAAAGACTAGGTATACTTTCCTTTGATATATTTATAGATTATAAACCTTCTTAAATTCTTCTTTTAGTAATTATAATAGGAATTAAAAAGTTCTAAGTTTTCTTTTTTTACTTCTTTTTAAAAATTCTTTAGTATAAAAGGGTATATAGATATAAAGGTAATAATTAGAATATAAATTATTAATACTTTAAGATTAGGGGCCTTTCTTAAGAAATATTTATTATAGAATTTAATATTAATATTATTATAATTATAATTAATATAATTAGTTATTAATAATTTCTATATAAGATTATTAAAAAACTCTTTTAGTATTATTGATTTAAATAATAGCTAATAGCTAGTAATATTATTCTAAGTAGTAATATTTTAAGTAGTAGTACTCTAAGCAGTAGTAGCACTCTGAGTAGTAGTATTTTAAGTAGTAATACTCTAAGCAGTAGTAGTATTTTAAATAGTAGCACTCTGAGCAGCAGTAGCATTTTAAGTAGTAGTATTTTGAATAGTAGTACTCTAAGTAGCAGTAGTAGTATTCTAAGTAGTAGTATTTTAAGTAGTAGTACTCTAAGTAGTAGTAATATTTTAAATAGTAGTAATATTTTAAGTAGTAATATTCTAAGTAATAGTATTTTAAGTAGTAATAGTATTTTAAGTAATAATAGTATTTTAAGTAGTAGTATTTTAAGTAGTAGTATTCTAAGTAGTAGTATTTTAAGTAGTAGTATTCTAAGTAGTAGTAGTATTTTAAGTAGTAGTAGTAATCTAAGTAATAATAGTAATCTAAGTAGTAATAGTAATCTAAATAGTAGTATTTTAAGTAGTAGTAGTATTTTAAATAGTAGTAATCTAAGTAGTAATAGTATTTTAAAAAGTAGTATTTTAAGTAGTAATATTTTAAGTAGTAATATTAGATCTAGTAGCTCTTAGCTAGCTAGTACTATTTAGAGTAGTAATATTGTTCTAGCTAGTTAGGTTTAATAGATTAGTAATTTAATTACTGCTATCTAGGGTTTAATTTTCTAGTATAGGATCTAAGATTATTAGTATTTACTAAGTTGAGGTAAGTAGAGTAATATAATTTCCTACTAGCTCTAGATTTTCTATTCTACTTTTACCTTTATTAGTTAGCTTTATAGGGTCTAGACCTGGGCTTATATTAGTATTAGTAGAAGTAGGAGATATAGGTTAATCTAAGCTTTCTTATATATTACTACCTTTTAGCTATATTATAATATTTACTAATATAGAAGATCTAGCTTTATTTCTCTTTAGAAAATATAATTTTAATAGCTTATTTACTATCCCTTATAAATTTTTTTTTAATATTAACTATTAGAAATTATAAATAACCTTAATAGTAGATTTATAGTTAGTATTTAGTACTAGCCTTTTAATATATTAGGTAATGTCTTATAATAGATAATTTCTATTATTATTATTAATAAGATATTTTAGTTAGTGGGCTAATATATACTTAGAGTTGATTTTCTTACCCCTATTACTTTTATTATCTTTATTATCTTTATTCTTCTTCTTTTTATTATTATTATTTTTCTTTTTCTTATTTACTATTTTAAAACTTAAATAAAAAGAATTTTAAAAATAATAGAAGAATAATTTAAATTATTTAATTTTAGAAGCTAGAGTAATATATGCTTAAGGATTAAATAATTAATTGATTAAGACATTAACTATATTTTAGTATAGTGTAAAAGTAGTTAGTTACCTATATATATATAGAACTTATTACTAGGAACTATAAGTTTTAGATATTAATATAACTATTAGGAAATATAGTTCTAGGGTACTAATGTGACAGCCTGGAACTATAGGGCTGGGATATATGCCGGGTATTGACTATAGTAATCCCCTATTATTATTTTTCCTACTTATATAAAAAGTAATTTTCTTATACTAGATATTATTACCCTATAGGACTAAATTAATTTTTGTAATAGAGCTAGTTATAATATACTCTATTATTTTTATAGTTTTTATTTTCTTTTATTTGTTTAGGTAGCTATTATAGCTTTTTATATAATTTTTCCTCTATATACTACTTCTTATATTTTACTTGCTCTTGTGAATAGTATTATAGTTTTAGATTCTCTTTTCCTATTATCTATATATTCTTATTTAGGATAGGAGATACTAGATAAGTATTACCTATATAGAATTTCTAACTTTTAACTTGTATATTTATATAAATACTATAGTCTTCTATCTTAGTAGAGAAAATATTGCTGGGATGGCTAGAATGCTGGCTATGATTAACACTACCTTACTATTCTTTAGAAGCTAAACTAATTCTATTACTAATTTCTTTAGTATTTTTTTATTATTATATTATATATTTTATTATTTTATAAGTAGAGTTGTCTTTATAGAGGAGCTACTATATACTACAATTCTCCTATAATAATTATAGTTTAATTAATTATTGATTTTAGGCTATATTATAAGTTTTATTCTCTCCCCTTCTATAAAAAAAGGAAAAAAAAAAAAAAAAATCTAAGCTGATAAGAGGAGGCCTTTAGTAGACTCTTACTTATTTTCTATATATTATTTTAGTTTATTTGCTACTATCTCTATTAAAGCTTTAATAAGATATATCTTGTGTTATAGCTATATATGGCTAGGATAGAAGGCTGGGTAGTTAAGACTAGTAGAAAAGGGTAAACTATAGAAGTATACTAGGTTATAAAAATACTAGATTATTTGTACTTATAGTGATCTAGGAGTAATCTAGATTATATAGGATTATAATAAGCTAAGGTAATCTAGGGAGAGCTTAGAAGGGAAATATCTATATAAATTATAATTTACTTTATATATCTAGTTTATCTTTTAAGATTTTTTAATAATTAATTTAAGTATAACTATATCCCTATACTTAAATATATACTTCTTACTAATATCTTATAAATACTATTTAACTACCTTACTTATTTTATAATAGGTACCCTATAACCCTATTACTAGTTATATCTACCTAATACTATTAATAGGCTAGTATTAGGATTGTAATAATAGTTATTAATATTTTTTAAAAAGCTATTAAAATTTATTTAATTAACTTTTTTATTAATAAGTTAAAAATAATATCTTTATATCTTTTTATTATTTAAAGATTTAACTAGATATTTTTATTTTAATTATTAATTTATATATAATCTATATCTATTATATTACTTTAATATTAAAAGATATTTATCTAGTATTTAATATATATTAAAAAATAGAAAAGAAAATTATATTTTAATTATCTATTAAAGTAAAATTAACTTAGATCTTAATATTTTTATATATAAAATTAATATATTTATCTCTTTTTTCTTTAAGTAATTATAGCTTCTTAATTTACTTAATCTTTTTACTATTCTAAACTTAAAATTAAATAAATTAATATTATAAAATTAGATTTATTTTCTTATTTATATAATCTTTTTCTTTTTTCTTTTTTCTCTTTTCCTCTTTTTTTTTTCTTCTCTTTTTATAAATATAAACTCTTTAAGTAAGTTATTATAAGATAAGAATTTTAATTAGTTTTTAACTAAAAAATAAAAAAACTAAATTTATAATTTAAACTTAAAATTATATCTTAACTTTAATAACCTTACTAAGTAAAATAATAAAATATTTATAAGAATATAAGAAGTAAATTTATATTTATTATAAAATTATAATAATCTTTATATTAATCTTTATAAACTATTAATATAAAAGCTATTTTATAATTATATTATTTTTAATAAAATAAACTTTTTATTTTTTTTATTTTAATTAAATATATTATAAATAATATTTTTTATAATTTAAAAAATAAAACTATTAAGAAGATATAGAAAAATATTATACTTATCTTATAAGAACTTCTTTAATAAGAATTTTATTTCTTTTTTATTTATAAATATATAATTTTCTAATTTTTTTTTTAAAAAGAAATCTAATAAATTTAATAGTTAATTTTATTATTTACTATATAGAATAAATAATTATTATAAAAAAAGATATAGACTTTATCCTCTAAATATTTACTAATTCTAAATATTTTTATTTAAATTATCTTATTAAAGATTAAAAAAGTAAGTTTTTAATATATTTTATAATAATTTTTATATTAATTATATTATAATTATATAAAAGGTTATTAATATTATTTCTTTAATTAAGTAAATTTAATATTTATAACTTTCTTAATTAATAATCTTAATATTTATAAGATCTAAAATCTTAAGAAGTTATTATTTTAAGATATTTTAAAAAATTTAAATAAAAAAACTTATTTTAAGATATTTATAATAATAAAGAAAATTTTAATATAAACTTTATAATAAATACTTTTATCTTAATTTTTATATTTCTAATAATATTTATTATAATTATATTAATTAATTATTATAATAATTATTATATATTTTAAAATTATTTTTTACTATTAATGGGTAGGTCTGGTTGTAGGTAACCTGCCCTAAAGTATAGGTACCTTCGAGAACTTGTTTGTAATGTTGCAGTGGGTTATGGGTTAGATGGGTAGCCTGCCATGGGTTGGTGGGCTCCCAGCCTACCCGCGGGCAATGTTGCAATGGGCGGCGGGTGGGTGGTGGGTGGGTATTCCGAGCCCTACTTGTGGATCGATAATGAGACGTCGCGCTACCGAGGCACCCCGCATTCTGCCCCGGACTTAACGATCCAGTCGTCATCAACATATTATTAAGAATAGAAACTTCCCCACAAGTCGGACATTTTATCCTTCCCTGGCACCAGCGGTCCCAAGCGTCCGTTTTATCTCCCCCATTTCGCGATTTCTATTGCTGTACTCGTTAATAACGACGCTGACCATGGCCCCATCCGCCGAGGAAGCGACAGCCGCAGTTGCTAGCGGGCCAGATGCAACGGTTGTCTCGTCTGGTCTCGCTAGTATCGGGCCGCCCAAATTTGCCGACCCTCATGAGGAGCGACAGTATTTGAAGGGCAGACTCGCTTTGGCGTTCCGTATTTTCGCGAAGCTTGGTTTCGATGAAGGGTGAGTCTTGCTCAGCAAAGGAGCCGCTTCTAGTTGCCCCGCTTGCTCACAATGATGGGACAGTGTTGCCGGCCATATCACGGTCAGGGTAGGGTCATCAGCGTCTCCATGTGATGGTATTCATTTTAATCGAGTATTTAGGATCCCGTTGAACCAACCAGCTTTTGGGTGAACCCGTTCGGTGTCGCATGGCCTCTGCTGAAGGCGTCGGATCTCATTCGCGTAAACTCCAAGGGCGAAGTTGTCGAAGGTGGTCCAGTCAGACTGCTAAACAATGCAGGTGAGTACATTGCACTTCCTCGCCATTTACGGCCTCGCTCCACCCAGCCTAATCTCCTCCGTAAAGCCTACATGATTCATCACGCGGTCCACGAGGCCCGGCCCGAGATTAACTGCGTTGCTCATTCGCACTCCGTCCACGGGAGGGCATTCTCCACTCTCGGCCGGTCCATCGATATCATTACCCAGGACTCGTGTGCGTTTTACAATGACCTCGCCTTCTATAATTCCTTCGGTGGGATTGTCCTCGGCGCCGAAGAGGGTGTCCGCATCGCTGGGGCCTTGGGGAACAAGAAAGCCGCTATTCTGGCCAATCACGGTCTTCTCACAGCTGGGAAATCTATCGAGAGCACCGTCTTCTGGTTTATGAGCCTTGAGACTTGTTGCCGTGTTCAACTTCTTGCCGACGCTGCTGCTGCCGGTCGGGGAGGGAAAGTTGTGAAAATTGAGGATGAGGAGGCAGCGTATACGTATAAGGCGGTCGGCAGTGAGCTCGCAGGTTGGTTCTCTGCCCAGCCAACGTTTAAGCTTATGGAGCTTGAGAGTGGAGAAGATTATACCTCCTGATGAATTCGGTTACTGCGATAGTTATTTGGCTGGAAGATCCGTCGTGATGAGCAACGACACTAAATTTACGCCCGATTGACAGCTGCGTGCCGACCAATAATTTGGTTCTGTGAACTAATCTGCTAGCCATGATTAAAAGTGCTTTAGGTGGTACCCTTTGGAAGGGCCTTTACCCCATGGCAAAGTCACTCGGTGTGTTGTCAAATAGAGCACGGTATTCGGTCTTTGAAGCAGCACAGAGGCGGAGGTAGCTGTTGGGAACTCCATTCCCCCAGGCGACCAGGCACAGCACTTCAAGACCGTCCCTGTCATTAGGATCTTGTTGAGCCCAAATCACCCACGAGTACTAGTTTCCAAAGCTATACTGTACTTCTGATTAGCCAGTATTGTAAGTTAAAATTGACTCGGCCAGTATAAATCACTGACAGAATGATCGCTAATCGTTAACAATACTCTGCGGCCCCTTATTTTTCCTCTTCTGCCATAGGGCAATCTTTCAAATTATTGGTGGCTATGTAATTTGTCCAGTTTGAATGCATGAGCGAGCACTGCCACTCCCCTTGGGATGGAAGTTCCAAGCCCGCCAGACAGCCTCATGTTCGGACAGGATTAAATTAGGATCTCTTCTTCCGTTGTAAAGTCGGTTAACTAATGCCTAGAGCTCTCGGTGACCCGTATTTGAATTTAAATGGGCTCACTCAGCATCACGCGCATCGTGATGGAACAACCACCGAACCTCATCTATGGACCACTTGACCACGAACGGAAGGAGATCCGCCTCCTCGAACTCATCCCCAATGGAGGTGATGCCGACGCCAAGATACATTGTCGAATGTATGTCGCATCGCTAAATGAAAACGACTTAATCTTTGACGCTCTCTCATACACATGGGGTACAGAGCCCGCAGACCGCCCGATCGACATTGATGGGAAAGCGACGCTTGTGACTGCGAATCTCGAAGCCGCGCTCCGTCGTCTTAACGAGTACTATAACCCCAACGATAAGGACAATGCAAGTGCCACGGCGCATAAAATCTGGATAGATGCTCTTTGTATCAACCAAAAAGACACTCCAGAGAGGGACAGCCAGGTCTCGATGATGCGTGATATTTACGAGGGAGCGAAAGATGTGATCGTCTGGCTGGGTGAATGGAAGGCCCCCGTCTCCTCGACAGGGGAAACACGAGAATGGGGGAATAGTGGAGGCCCAAACCCGAATCCCAATGAATCGGTCGCCCGCGCCATGGCTGCTCTCAGCGAGATCGGCCAGGGCCGCCATGCGTGCGAGATAGACCTCTTTGCCAACCTCAGGGAGCAAGAAAATCAGGAGGCACTCTCGGTGATGCGTTATCTCCTCAAGCACCCTTACTGGCACCGGGCCTGGGTAGTGCAAGAGACGGTTACAGCTCGTCATGCAATGATCCTCTGCGGCAACGTCACAGCCCAGTTTGATCACTTCCTTAATCTTGGTGGCCTTCGAGGCACGCAGGACATGGCCTGCTGCGAAGCTCGCTGGCATAGCCTATCCTACGACCTCCAGGAAGCATATTTTTCTCACACGCCCCTCGTTTGGAATCTAAAGACTACAAGGGAGTCCTTTTACGACCAGGGTAGCCTAAAGATGTCATTGGAAAATCTGCTGGTGCACTTTCGGCAGCGACAATCAACAGACCCGCTGGACATGGTTTATGCCTTTGTGGGCCTCGTTAAGCGGTGGCAGGATGACAAAGGACCTTTGGAGATAAGCTACGCGCTTGAACCTGCGCAGTTGTACACACGAGTGGCGTTCCGCATTCTCTCACAAGGCAAAAATCTGAATCTTCTGGCCCATTGTGAAAGACGAGGCCAAGTGGAGGGGCTTCCCTCCTGGGTACCAGATTGGACAAGCCGCGGCTACACAAAAGAGATGCTTGATGTGAGCTCGACGACGCTGGCACCCCTCATTTACAAGGCCTCTGGCGAGGGTGATGCCTATACCTTTATGCGACCAAAACTCTTTGGTGGATCTGTCTTACTGTTGGGTGGACACAAGGTCGGGGTTGTGACTGGCTCGGTGCCACCAGCGACTCACCCGATCGAAACCATCCAGAGGTGGTGGGCCGCCGCGACCGAATGGTTTGAGCATGACGAGGAAATTGCCCGCGTTAAGAATGCTCATCCCGAGGCTGCGGACATCGGGGATTCACAATCCGGCCGAGGCGTCTTGCCTAAGATGAAGCCAAGATGGTTCTTCTGGGGCTCAGACCTTCAAGATACATCGCTTTATGACTGCTTTTTCCGCACACTACTTGGAGATTTCATCACACCCTTGACTACCAGCGGTATTCCCTTCCGCCGTGCATCTAGCGAAGATGTGGCCCTGTTCCAGCACATGATGAGGGATGCATGTATTATACCGAGCCGTCCAAACCGCGAGGGTTCTGATTGGTTTGATTCGGGAACGAGACCGTACAGAGAGCAGGAGCTCTGGATATCATATTCCCGGTCTCAGAGTCTCAATAAGCGATTCTTTTCTGTAGCTGCTGAAGATTCTGCGCCTATACGCAAGCCAGGAGGGGATGTGACCGCTGAACCGGGGAACAGCCACGCTACAGCCGTTGAACCTCCAGGACGGAGTGAAGGCTACATGGGAATAGGCCCGACAGGGATGCGGGAGGGAGATGAGGTTTGGGTTTTATTCGGATCACCAATCCCATTTGTCCTGCGAAGGGTGGAAAAGTCTGTGGGCGTCTTACACCTGGATAACTGTCTAGAGGTGGTCGGGCCTTGCTTTGTAAATGGCATCATGTATGGCGAAACAGTGGAAAGGGCTAATCAAGAGGGGCTTTTTTTAGCTTGAAGGTGGTTTCTGGCGCGGTGGATATGTCGTTGAGTCTTGCCAAGAGTGGCTTTTTCCAAAACAGGGGGGATGTGCCCGTGCTTCCACAATCGTAGAGAATCGATCAGTATCTTCCTCACATCCCACGCCGAAGCCAGCCCTTCAACGTTGATGGCCAAGTTCAGACTCGGAAACCCGCTATGTGCCTATATCTCCACCTTTTTGGCTAGATATCTAAAAATCGGTCGAGATGGCTCTTCTAACTTCTAAGTCTTTTACCATGCCTGGCTTTCTCTCAGACATTTATATCAAGGTGCATCAATCACGTCCATATTTCGTCGGACGATGTTCTTGATTCAGCGGCTGCGTATTCGCTACCCTTACGATGTAGACCCTAGTTTAGCTATACCAAGAAGATATACGAGAAACAAAGGCTCCGTATCCAGCGTTTTCTCCCCACGCAGTTATGAAGATCCTTAACCAGATCCCTGGGCGGATACCCCACACTCTCATCAGTTCTGGACTCTCGCCGAGGGAGCGTTGACCCCGGGCTACCCCGCACAAATAGCGTTGCTGAAGGTGCCGCTTTGATCAATCCCAACGCCGATTTGGAAAAGGCTCCGATGACAATGTTACCCGTACAGACTATAAGACGGGGGATGCAACTTAGGGTGTCACTGGCCGGGACTAATTCGGTCGGAAACCCTACCTTTCACCCACGCCTATCAGCGGACGTGCCATGTCCACCTGAAGTCATGGATGTCACCGCTTGGCTCGAGGAGGTTCTGTCATTGGCGATAAAGAATTCATTTTCATGTCCGAAGACAACACCTACCTGTGTCTCGATTACGGCTCTTGTCAGTCAAATGATGGCTGATTGGCCGTCACGAGCGTGCTGGTCCTACCATGACGGTATCTCGAGGCCACCTCAACCTACCAATCCACCATGCACATGACTTGTTGATCGACCCCGGCGTCCATATTCTACAGATTCGGGCTTAGTGCGTTGTGTGGCACCCTAACAGCGATTGCATCGCGAGAGTCCTCTATTATAGGCCAGAGGGCGCGATGAGAAATTTGCGTCGGCGCAACGCCTGTTTTGGGCCTTCACTCGAGAGTATAAATTTTGTAGCCGTATAAGTTCGCATGTTTGCCCGCTGCCACGTTGCCGATCGCATACGCCCTCGAGAAGTAGGCGTTGATTCCCGCAGCTCGGCATCGGCGCGCCCCTTTTGTGACGTCCATCCGCAGCAACGTTACGACACGATTACTACCCTAAAGAATGGGGAACTCAGGCTCTCAGGTCAGCAGCTATGTTGCTGCGGACTACTATCCTGCCCCATACGGCGGTTGGGTTGGTGACTGGGCAGATAGCTATGCGAGAGCTCGTGAGCTAGTTGAGTCGATGACACTGGCAGAGAAAACAAACATCACCTCTGGAACGGGCATCTACATGGGTATGAATCTCGTCATTCTTGTCATCCACGTTGCATCTAACGAATTATCTTCTAGGGTACGTGCATGCGATGAGGTTATCACTGAAGGGTCTTATTGACACGTCGATAGGCGCTGTGTCGGCAATACTGGAAGTGCCGAACGCGTTGGCTTCCCTCAGCTGTGTCTAGGCGATGCTGCCAACGGAGTTCGTCTCGCCGACTTCGTCACCGTCTTCCCCGCCGGCATTACCACTGGCGCCACTTGGGACAAGGATCTCATGTACTCGAGAGCCGTTGCCATGGGAAAAGAGTTCCGTGGAAAGGGTGTGAATATCTACCTTGGCCCTTCCGTGGGTCCGCTTGGTAGAAAACCGAAAGGAGGGAGAAATTGGGAGGGATTTGGTGCCGATCCCGTCCTGCAAGCGACGGGCGCGTCCTTAACTATCAAAGGCGTTCAAGAGCAGGGCGTGATTGCCACGATCAAACATTTTATTGGTAATAAACAGGAGATGTATCGCATGTACAATCCGTTTCAAACTGGCTACAGCGCCAATATTGGTATGGCGATCCCAAAAAGTCCTTCATCTAATGAGCGTCGCGGTAATGACTTGAGATATTAGATGACCGAACCCTCCACGAACTCTACCTGTGGCCCTTCGCAGAAGGGGTGAGGGCTGGTGTTGGCTCGGTTATGACGGCATACAATGGCGTGCGCGAACTCTCTCATTATTCTTGCCCGATTTATTACAGAAGCCCCCCTTGACTAACAAAGATACCCCTCAGGTGAACAATTCGGCCTGCAGCCAGAATAGCATGCTTATCAACGGCATCCTAAAAGATGAGCTTGGATTCCAGGGATTCGTCATGTCAGATTGGCTTGCCCATATGTCTGGCGTTGGTTCAGCTTTAGCCGGGCTAGACATGAACATGCCAGGCGACACTCAGGTCCCACTCTTTGGTTATAGCTACTGGATGTACGATCTAACTCGCTCAGTTTTGAATGGATCGGTTCCTGTCGACCGACTAAATGATATGGCGACTCGTATCGTGGCGGCCTGGTACCGCTTCGGCCAAGACGACGGTTTCCCAGAGCCAAACTTCTCCACCACGACTCGGGACCGCGAGGGAGATCTATACGCTGCTGCCTGGCCATTTTCTCCGCGCGGGGTCGTGAATGAGTTCGTCGATGTTCAAGAAGACCACTACCTTGTCGCTAGGCAAGTGGCCCAGGATGCTATCACCCTGCTCAAGAACGATGGCCCGTTGCTGCCTCTATCAACTGATCGGCCTATCAAGGTCTTCGGCACGGGTGCTGCTGAGAATTCCGATGGACCCAATGCATGTTCAGACCGCAACTGTAACAAGGGAACACTTGGTCAGGGGTGGGGATCCGGAACAGTTGATTATCCTTATCTCGATTCTCCCATCGATGCTCTTAGGAAGAATGCAAAGGATGTCACGTTTTACGACACTGACAAGTTCCCCGGCGTTCCCACGCCTGGGGCGGATGACGTCGCCATCGTATTCATAACTTCCGACTCGGGAGAGAATACCTACACAGTGGAAGGAAATCACGGCGACCGTGACGGCTCCGGGCTTTACGCCTGGCACGATGGAGATGCCCTCGTGAAAAAGGCCGCCGAAACCTACGCCAACGTGATTGTGGTCGCGCAAACGGTTGGGCCTCTCGTCTTGGAGCGGTGGATTGATATGCCGAGTGTTAAATCCGTTCTGTTCGCCCATTTGCCAGGACAGGAGGCCGGGGAATCCCTGACGAATGTTCTTTTCGGCAAGGTATCGCCTAGTGGACACCTTCCCTACAGTATCACCAAGCAGGAATCCGACTACCCAAGTAGCATCACAGATCTGGTGACTGGCTCTGGCGTACAAGATGACTATGTCGAAGGATTGTGAGTGCCTGCTTCCCGACGTATTATTATAGATCCTGAAAACTCATCTCCTGACTACTGAATAGATATATCGACTACCGATACTTGAACAAAGCCGGCATCAAACCTCGTTATGCCTTTGGCCACGGACTTACCTACACAAATTTCTCCCTCACAAAGCCTGCAATTACCAAGGTCGCCAAACTCAGCGCTTTACCTCCAACTAGACCTGCAAAGGGAAATATTCTCGATTACTCCGGACCTGTCCCGGGCGAGTCGGAGGCATTGCCCCCTGCTGGATTCAACAAGATCTTTCGATACATCTACTCTTGGCTCCAACCTGATGAAGCGAAAAATGCAGTCAAGGACCGCCAGACGAAGACTTACGATGCATACCCCCGTGGCTACAGCACAGAGCAGAAGCCCGGCCCGAGATCTGGAGGCGACGAAGGAGGGAATCCTGCTCTGTGGGATGTCGCTTACAAGATTTCTGTCACTGTTACTAATTCCGGGGCAAAGCACTCCGGCAAGGAAGTCGTGCAAGCATACGTGCAATTTCCCGACAACATCCCCTATGATACCCCCATTACCCAGCTCCGAGACTTTGCGAAAACCCGGGAGCTGGGACCCAATGAGAGCCAGGTTGTTGAACTCCAGCTTACGCGCAAGGATATCAGTGTCTGGGACGTAGAAGTACAAGACTGGATTATCCCTAATGTGGATGGGAGATTCAAGGTGTGGATTGGCGAGGCAAGCGATCGGTTTTCTATTGTTTGCTACACAGATCAGTTGAACTGCGAGGCGAACGTCGAGCACCCGCTTTAAGGTTCTAGATTTGGGATGATTCAACGAGACACACACATTCCCAAATCGATAAAGCTCCTCTCCACATAGCTTGTGATATCGTAGTGTGAGACCAGCTATTATCACATTGGTATAGGGAGAGAGGGACCGTGGTCGGTGAAAATGAATGAAGTTGAGGAGAACAGTTCATAATACCCTAAGATCCCAAGGTGAACGGAGACCGGAAGTGGCTCCAATACGGCATGTGGCATAATACCGATTCAGAGAGCCCTCCCAGAAGACGTTGGAACTTGGAGTGCTACTAGCTTTCGACCTGACACGGCGCTCGTGTACGGTGTGCGTTTTATTTAGTAACTGCGAGGTAACTTGAGTACCCTCTCACTAATATAATTAAGGATCATCTCACGGCTGACTGGGGCGATTCGCGGGATGAGGCATTCTCTAAACCAACGCTCGACATCATATTCCGCCGCATATCCCATTCCACCATGCGTCAGAACGGCCTTCTCGCAAGCGTTGAATGCGGCCTCGGCCGCCATATATTTAGCGCTATTACATGCCACACCGACAGACTCCTGGGGAATGGCTAGACCATCCACCTTCTTTCCACTGTCGTCGTAGAGCTTGGCGGCGTGGTACGTCGCGAGTTTGGCACTTTCAAGCTTCATATACGCATCCGCTAGGGGGTGCGCAATACCTTGGTTCTGTCCGATGGGCCGTTTAAAGACGACGCGATCGCGAGCATACTGAACAGCCCTTCCAAGAGCAGCATAGCCAAGTCCTAGCGCCTCACCGGCAAGTAAACAACGTTCTGCGTTCATACCGTGGAGGATAATCTTGAAACCTTGACCTTCCTTCCCAATTAGAGCGTCCCCGGGAATCGCGTAGTTGTCGAAGAAGACCTCATTTGCGTCAATTGCCCTGCTGCCGAGCTTCTTGATTTTACGCATATCCAAGCCGGGCTGATCGCGGTTCAAGTCGATGCAGAACAGCGAAAGTCCTTCGCTAAGCTTCTTCACAGCGTCCAACGGGGTCGTTCTCGCGAGGAGAATCATTTTGGAGGCGACCTGGGCGCAAGTGATCCAGATCTTCTGCCCGGAAACACGGTATGATCCGTCTGGCTGCTTCGCCGCCGTGGTAGAGAGCCGTAATGTGTCCAGACCGGCATTTGGCTCTGTGACTCCAAAGCAGACGCGCCACTTGCCCGAGATAATGTGGGGTATCGTCTCCTCCAGCTGTACCTTGGTCCCGAACTTGGCCAGTGGCTGCGTCGCGTAGACGTTGGCATGGATAGCCTGGGCGCCTGCCATGCCCGCGCCGCTCTGTGTAATAGTCTGCATCATCATCGTTGCCTCGGAAATCCCCAGGCCCGATCCACCATGGGCCTCGGGGAGGGCTATGCCGAGCCAGCCGGCTTCCGCCAAAGCACGGTGGAATTCTTGGGGGTCTCGCTCAGTCTGGTCCCGTTCTTGCCAGTAAGTGTTGGGAAATTGTTCGCAGATCCGCGCCACGCCGTCTCGGACCTCCAGTTGCGTTTGTGTGAAGCTCGTCGTGTCCATAAGGCGCCGCGAGGTTGTTGTGGAAAACATGTGGGCGTTGGCCCTAGAGAGCGTGGGTTGCCATAATGTGCCCTGAGTGCGGCCGAGGAGTAAAATTCTCTTGAATGCCAGTCGAGACATGTTCGTGTGCGGGAAATGGTCGAATAATAAATGAACGTCTGATAAGTCAGGGAGAGAAGATATAAAACCCAAGTATTCCAATCATGTATATAACTAGTTGTAGCCTGTGAGCGTTGATGATGGATGGCTTGGTTCTGGACGGGCATGAATCGACCCATGTCATAAAGCCGATATGGGCCAAGTTCGGCTACTTGGTTCCCCACTTACCCGCCAGGCATCGTAGCATGTAGCCACACCGCTGTCTTCAGGCTAGTTCTGATCTCTTCAGGTCTCATTTCACATGGCTTCCCTCCTTCAGTCATCTAGAAAACCAATCATCACACCTAATTTATAATAATGCTCTTAGCAGAGGAAAAGCCAGGAAAACTAGATAGTCGGGCGTTGTTGCTTAGAAAGTGGTGAACCTGGTCCGTGGCGATGACCCACTGCTAGCGTGATTGGACATGGAAGTTCGGTGTTCAAAGGCAGCTCGCATAAAGCCGATCATCTTTTGGGATGGGGCCAGCTCTATTATCTAGCCAAATCGTGAGGAAAGTGTGAGTATTAGGCAATGTTATTTTCTTGTAATAAACCAGGCTTGTGTTTAGATGTAAGACGTTGACTTTGACTCCGATCCTCATTCTTCCAGGCAGGCCAGCACGTTGTCATCCCCCTTGCGCCTCTCTCCCGTGATAATGTTCCGTGACAATGCGAAGAGACGTTTTCTTCGCCTCACCGGTTCCACTTTGTTATTGTGCGATGTGAAATCTACTTATTTTATATATAAGGAAGAAGCGAATCCCATTTTCTTCCTCATCCGGAGGGCACTGTCCACCTATCATCTCTCTCCATAAATCATGCGCCTCTTCGCGCTCTGCAACCCCGTCTTTAGATTCTTCCGCCAATACTAGGGATAATTTGAATAGAGATCGCGCGAGCCGGGACTTGTAAAGCCTAGAGGGCCTCTGTCTGAGGATCCTAACGGCTTCTACGAGTAACATCCTATACATCTAAATTAGCCTGGGTTCTACTAAATCCCGCCATTGGCATCGTTAGCTATGCGATATGTGTGGTTCCCTTACCTTGCGGCTTCTAGTGAAAGGGCGCTGCCCGCCTTGCAATGGCAACAGGCAAGCAGGTGGATTCGCTGTAATTACGGCTCTACGCGAGTGGCCGCACATCCAGCCATCGGCGGCCCCACCTCTGGAGAGCGGTGTTGAAGCGGGGGACAGTAAGGCGACGGTGGTGGTCCGACATTTGCTCGGCGGAGTTGTTGCCTTGGGTATCTTCATTACCGCTACCGAGCTTACATTGACGTGGAACGATATACGAAGTGTTTACAGCTGCAGGAACTTTGGGCAACTGTTCCCGTTGGTGTGGGGCCGTCCAACCTGGCCCGGATATGTTTTCGAATCGCGAAGGCCATTATTATGGGGGACTTGTCCATACGGCTCTGAATCGGCAAGCATCTATTAGGCAATACGGGAACAGCTCATGTATATTTCATGCTGACACGAACTCCATCCTAGCTTGTCACACCGTCACCCTTAATATGACCCTCCCTGCGCCCTCTAATGAAGTTTCTGACTGTAAATTTTCGTTTGATTCGATCGGTTACCACTTTGTAGAGTTTTGTAAAATAGACCGTTCGTATATTAATGCCTTAATATTTGGGGTCCAGGTTCAATTGCTTTGAGTTGTGAGTCGTCATGTCCTCTCATGCCTCAAGGTCACGCTCGAGGCTAATAGGCCTACTCCCTAGCGATCGATCCGACTCCTTCAGAACGACCAGATCTTCTGATTTTCGAGAAGTCTTCCTTTTCCGGGGCGGCCGTGGAATACCAGGAATGCCGAGAGGGTCTGATCTTTGAGCTGCCCGGGTGATAGGTAATTATAGGTACAAAACTCGCGCTATAAGGATAGCCCCAAGAATATATCCACAGTAACTCATCGTCTCAGTCATAAACCCATTCGACTCGGCATCGCCTGAGACCATACTTCTGGAAAATCCAACGATGGGTTTCCAGTCTGGTTGTTCTCCCGATAGAAGCTCATCAGACCGCGCAGCGTCAATCCGGCCTAAGAAGTCAACGGTAATATCTCCACCCAATGTCCCCTTCACAGGCCGCTCTACATTATTTATCTTGAAGACGCCGTTCAGGGTCCATGAGGCAGCCTGGTCGTCAAACCGGCCATTGAGAACTGGGTCAACAAGGTGGACTCGATCGATCCAGGAACTGCTGCTGGCGCGCAGGATGTCGCCTCCCCACCAGGTCTCAGTTGCATTGTCACACTGGCTCATGTTGAACTGTATTCCCTCTGACCGGCTATTACTGGTCCCGAAAAGGCTGTAGGACGTATCAGATAGGTGTGTTGTGGATAGATTCCATCGAGGATCCGCAACACCTACTGAATACCCTCTTTGCCGTGGTCTACAAAGCTCGGATTAGCTCTCTCCAACATCGCAGGCTTATTTTGAACGCACTCGATTGATTCAAGGTGGAAGATATCATCGTTGATCTGCACTGGATAAGGGTTCGTGTTACCACCCAGTGGCCAGAGGTCAATGTTTTCGTCTGGCCATGAGTTGACAATAAACATGACCGGATTGCGCCCCCTGTCCTCTTTATTGGGCTTTACGATTGCTACTAGTGTCTTATAGGAGAATTCGAGAACCTGGTCTGTGAATCTGTCGCATGCTGTTTCGCCTTCATCTTCTTTTTTATCTTGGCCCCAGTCCCGGGGAGTCAGTCGGAAGTTTACGGTTCCGTTATAGTATCTGTCCACAATGTCAGGGCTCTAGTCAATAGAACACCGGGGTCTCGACCCGAATACTAGGTACTCTGGCTCTTGTACCTCTTGTACTTACGATCCAGTCCAGGCATACAGCCAATATGCGAGATCCGTGACGTTTTGAGGCCGATAATTCGATTCCGGGTTGTAAGCTATGTCTTTCGTCCCAAGAGCGGTGGCCGTGAAGAAGAGGAACGCCGCAAGACGGACTGCATAACTGAAAGACACCAAGTACATTTCCGCAGTAGTAATTGGCCACTGGTCTTCCTCAAGTCGGCGACGATGGCGTGTGGACCACATCAAGTTTTCAAATTTGATTCTTGGGCTGGGCACGGTATTTATGTCGTCCTCTGCCAAGAAAATATTCTGACCAAACTTCGGACGAATGTCAAGCCGACATTTCGAAGTGGTCTCGCCATTCCTTTAATCGGCGGTGGGTCCTCAGATGGCCAAGATGTAAAGGGACTAGTCGCAGATGAGGAGTTATACGGATCTTCACAAGGCTTAGAATACCGAGATCTACAAGAGAACACCGGAAAGCTGGGACGTGTTGGAGGAATCGTAAGCTGAGTCAAGCCCTTCTCTCAACGATCTAGAAGCACTCGCATATGTTATCCGAGTTTCGATTAACCTCTTACGAGGACCGTCCCGCCGCCCAATGAAGGCGTAGAATCCCGAGCCTACTCCCAATGCTAGGATCTTAGAATAATTCGGGAACGGTCTTATTCTTATTAAATTATCCAGCACTGGGAAACCATACAGATTATATTATTTGATATCTTAAATCTGGGCACTTCCTGGGGAAGGCTCTTGGTGGTGGGTCCAGGGATGGTGGCGTATGACTTTAAGGTCCTGTTAGTGCTAGGTAGCTGGCGTTCGCAGGTCTTCTCTCCTGCTGCTGCTGGGCTGTAATGGTTGTATGCGGCCCAGCAACGATTAAAGGCTTTGGGAAGTGGGTATTATAGTGGTCACGTGCTTACCGCGCCGCCATTCGCCATCGCAACATCGCAACAGTTTCTTGTTACTCTTCATCTCCAAACCAGGGCCTTTTCTGTTTCTTCCTTTCTACGTCTAGGTCTCGGCGCTAGGCTTTTCAATCGAATCTAGGCATTACGCTTGCGCCCGATCCCCTCTAGACAAGTTCCGCACTTCATCAGCCTGGACCCCGTCTCCATTCCCAGCAGCCATGCGCTATTGTAGATCATGCCTTCGCTAGATAGTATTGACAGCGCGCCTCGATCACGACGGACACGTGCGAAACAGGCATGCAAGAATTGCAACTCACGCCGCGTGCGCTGTAACGTTCACGAAACTAAACCTTGCTCCAATTGTGCAACAGCCCACGTCGCCTGCGAGGTGCCAGTGTCCAAGAGGGGGAAGTGGGTGCAACAAAGCGCGAGCGTTGCGCCATGCATGGCTCCGTCATGAACAGCGAACCAAGACTCTAACGTCCCTCCTTCGCAGGTATCAACGAAAGCGAAGCCAAAATGCGCCTGTGGAAGTTACGCCGCCTGTCCACTCGGACCCATCACCTGGCAACCTCAGGGCTCAACTCCAACTCGAGATTGATGATGGTGGCGCGGCAGGGCAAAGTCCGGGCGATATAGGTTACCATGGTGTCGAAAATCACATTCCTGCTAGCACCACGCAGATTAGAACGCCTTCAACGCTCCTAACACCCCTGCCTGCGTCGCGAGTGGGCGAGTCCCAGACAATAGACAGGACCTTGTTTTTTGGCGAGTCCAACATCTTGACATGCGTTGCCGGCGAGAGATTCGGCGTACCCTAGCCTCCCAACGTTTCCACCCAACCAAATAACAGGCTGGTCTACCCCATATCCGATGCCATTAATACCAAGGCTTGGAAACTCTCCACGACGCGGAATCTCCCGGTTAGTTCGTTGAGGTACGAATATCTGCAAGCTGAAGGCGCTTTCACATTTCCCGACCCGCCGGTTTGCCTGGAAGTATTACGAGCATACTTCCACTGGTTCCACCCATGCTTTCCTGTCCTCGATAGGGCCGAGACGGCGCGGATGTTCGAGGCTGGCGAATTGTCCCCATTGCTCTTCCAGGCAATGCTATTCATTGGGAGTAGCTATTGTGAAGAGGAGATTGTCCGTAGCATGGGATTCAAGGACCGCCCGGAGGCGAAGGCCGCGCTCTACCATCGCGTTCGGCTTCTCTACGATGCCGACTGGGAGTCGAACAAGGTGGCCGTCCTCCAGTCGTTATTCCTTACTAGTTTCTGGAGAGCAGGGCCGCTCAACGAGAAGAACACTCGGTACTGGCTGGGAGCTGCGATCAGTCTTGCTCAGACTCGCGGGTTCCACAGAACGTAAGTCGCTTGTCTAAAAGCCCCCCATCTGGAAATGTTGCTGAAATAGAGCTCAAGGGTACACGCCTCCACAAGAGGCGCGAATGAAGCTAAGATGCGGAGACGAATATGGTGGTCTATATACGTACGGCTACTCTAAGCCTCTACGTAAATGTCAAACTGAACTGACAGGCCACTTTATTTTCAGGTTCGGGATCGCCAATCCTCAGCTTCGCTAGGGCTACCGAGCCGAATACGCGACGAGGACTGTGATGTCGAAATGCTTAGCCCTTCAGATCTCGAGGAGACTGAGGGAATCGGCTCGGATATCTTCGGCACTGGGGAACCAGGACATGTTATGTATGCCCTAGAGATGGCAAAGTTGGCGAAACTGCGTACATTCTAACCTCCCCAAACGATATGACTTTCACGGTGGCTCCATGCACACCACTAACCCGTGCGCAAATAGTTGGCCATATCATAACAAACCAGTTCACCCCTGGCACGGGTCATCTCGATAAGAACCAAAGATCAAGCCTTCTAGATGCATTAGTAAGGTGGAAATCTGAGTTACCGGACAGCTTGCGCGAATGCGAATTGGAAAATCGACCCGGCATGATCTGGACTTACCTGCTCCACCTCTATTACAAGTAAGCTTCCACGTCCCATCTACGTGTGCCGTTTTGGGATTCAGTGCGTTGACCCATGATAGTAACCTGTTGATCCTCCTGCACCGACGTGCGTACGTGAGACCTCAGGATGAGTCCGATACTCAGGCCGGTGAGGTTGCTCTCCGGGCAGCGTGTCGGATCACGCGAATTGTCGAAGACATGCTATCTTCGGACTTGATTAGGTTTGGGCAATTACATGTGTAAGACAGCTCCTGGGAAGACTTTAACATACTATGAATTATCTAATTTTCTTCTTCACTAGGATAACGAGCCTCTTCTCGTCCCTTTGCATCCACACCATCAGCCTTCAACGATCCAAGAATACTGCACGGAGGCTGGCGGAACACAGAGCCCAAATGAGTCTACTTGGCTTGAAGGAGATACAAAAGTATTGGGAAGTCAACAACCTCGTATTGGAGTTATTCTTTCAGTATCTGGACGAGTCAACGGCAAAGAGGCTCCGCGCGGCAGAGCTAGACCCAACTTCTGACACAGCAGCGGCAGCAAACAATCCCGTTGTGCAGGCGGCGGGACACAACTCATCAGGTGTCGGCGACATGGCGACCATGGCAGCCAGCACCGCGGCCGATGATAACGACGACACGACACTTGGCACGTATCCGACTATGGGTCAAGATTCATTATGCTTTGTTACGCCATCCAATATCCTGTGTCAGAATAGCACATCGGACCCGTATGCCTTCCTCGTGGATTCCGAGGCTCGCGTTAATGATGGGCTGGATATGCTGGGACTACAATTTCTTCAACGCTGTCTTTAAAAGATCCACGAAGATCGCCCACTGCACGGAGTTGGAGGATGAGCATCATGATATCTTCTAGGCTTCGGGCCATTTGCCTATGTATCGGTTCATCATAAACGAGATTTCAACCTGCTATATCATTATAACAAGGAGCGAGTGATTCAATACTAATGATGACCTATTGTCAAGCTGTAGCATTCATAATCAACCAACAAGATTGGTCGTCATCGACTCGCCATCGAAGTACTTGTTGACTCACTAGCGAGCACTCTCTTTCCCTTAGACGCTCTGGTTAGAATCAGACGACGGTTGGCTTAACAAAGCTGTAGTCACTATTTCGAGTCTCTCAATCCTATTTCCGCCAGTATCGTCGCATTGTGCTCGCCCACTTTAGGTACGGGGTCCATACGCGGCCTCAGCCCGTTCGCAGCCGCAACAGAAGAGAGACCGGGCGGGATAAGGGCCGGAACGGGGCCAATCGGGGTATTGACCTCGGTCCAACGGCTGCGGGCGCGAAGTTGTGGATGATCCCATACGCCCTGCATGTCGTTGACGTTGGCATTGGCAATGCCAGCCTCATTCAGCTGCACCACGGCCTCAGACGCCGTCATTTTAGAGAGAGCGTCGAGAATAAGGGGGCATAATTCGGCGCGGTTCTGGGCGCGGAGGGAGTTGTTGGCGAAGCGCGGGTCGGCGGCGAGAGCCACATTGCCGAGGATCTTGGAGCAAAACGAAGTCCACTCCCGCTCGTTTTGGATACCAAGCATGACGGACTGCCCGTCACCAGTCTCAAATGGGCCGTACGGGTAGATGGTTGCATGTGCGGCGCCGACGGGCCTGGGACCGGGTGCATTCTTGTACGCGTAGTACATGGGGAAGCCCATCCATTCAACCATGCTCTCGAGCATCGAGATGTCGATCTTGGAGCCTTGGCCGGTCTTTTGGCGCTGGAGAATCGCGGCCAGGATGTTGCTGTATGCGTACATGCCAGCGGCAATGTCTGCGATGGAGATGCCCACCTTGGCCGGTTCGGTAGGACTATTACCGGTGACTGACAGCATGCCTGCTTCGCTTTGAATAAGCAGGTCGTAAGCCTTCTTGCTCTTGTAAGGTCCATCTTGCCCATACCCTGAGATATCACAGACGATCAATCCGGGATGTTGGGCTTGCAAGGCCTCATAGGATAGACCCATCCGCTCAGCTGCCCCCGGCGCCAGGTTCTGGACAAACACGTCTGCCTTCCTAAGGAGCTTCTTCAGCACCGCAAGGCCCTTGGGCTGCTTTAGGTCCAACGCCAAACTCTCCTTGGAGCGATTCGCCCACACGAAATGTGAGGCGAGCCCATCCACCCGGGTATCGTAGTCGCGCGCGAAATCGCCGACGCCGGGGCGCTCGACTTTGATCACTCGTGCTCCGAGATCTGCCAGTTGTCGGGTGCAATATGGTGCTGCGATCGCTTGCTCGGTACTGACAACTGTTATCCCGTCGAGAGGCCGAGGGGCAGTTGTGGAAGGTGATGATGACCCGCTTCTACGATGGCATGTTGATGAAAAGCATCGTATTTGAATCGAATAGTGTTGCGCGGCTGCCGGGCTCTGGAAATGCTGGCTCCTACCGAAGCAAGTGCGTAGAAGGCTGGAACTCCGTGAGGCGCTCATCGTGATGTGATGTCCTGGGGCGAAGATTAATACTATCTAAACGTAAAACGGAGAAAGCCACGACCACTTGTACCGATGTAACTCGGCAGATTTGAGACCGAGAGGAAAGATTTATTTTTGGCCAGTTCGAGTCGGCTACTGAGAGCTTGAGGTGCTCAATGCAACCCTCTCCACCTTGCCGACCCGCCTTTAGTTCTCTCTATTTGAAGTAGCCGACTCTCGGCAATATGCGTGCTGTCTACGAATCGGAACCACTAGTGGCATCCCGGAACTTCCAGCTGTTTTCAAACATCATTCGTCGTAGAATCCGAGCAACCCGAAACAACAAAAACAGTGTATCATTTATGACTTCGCCAAGAGCATTTGGGTGCGTAGTTCAATTATCGGTGGTCGCAGCAAATAGATATAGCTCCTAGAAGTCTAGTATTAAGGTCCAGCAAATTGAGACTCGCCCAAGTCGTTCGCAAAGCTTTCCCGACAGCAGCTACTTGCGCAACCATAAAGTCTTCTTATCGGATGTTCCCGACCGCCGCAAGGTCCGCTGGCCTTAGCCATGAAATTGCCCGCAACTTTCTCGCCCACGCACAGCGCCGCGGTCCGCTAATTCAGAAACAGCTCCTCGACGCCAATCAACTCCTGCGTCTATGCCAGACGTTAGGTCGAAAGGAGCTCCTCCACGGATCCCCGGTGACGGACAGCCCACCGGCAAACGGGACTCCGGTGCCCCCAGGCTATCACCTGGTGTACTTTACACCATCGAGCTTCGAGTCGGAGCTTGGCCGCGACGGCACCGACCGGACGTTTAACCCGTCGGCGCCGTTTACTAGGCGTATGTGGGCGGGCGGTGAGATTGTTTGGTTCGGGGACAACGTTTTGCGCGTGGGGCAGACAGTAACGGAGACGACAACCGTGGTGAAATCGGAACCGAAGAAGACGCGCGACGGAGCGGATATGATTGTTGTCGGCGTAGAGAAGAAGTTCGAGAACGAAAACGGCACTTCTCTGATAGACAGAAGGTAGATCGCACTCCCTCCTCACACAGAGACTTGGCGACCAGTTACTGACGGGGACGACAGAGACTGGTTGTTTCGGCCCGATTTGACAGAGGCCCCAGCGCTGATCCCACGAGGTGAAGCAAAGCCTTTTCCTAGTGGTATGATATACACCTCACAGCCTAGTGAGCCCTAGGCGCGTAGATCTCATCTAACCTCTGAACGACCAGGAACGCATACCCGCGACTTCACTCAAACTCCAATCAGTCTCTTCCGCTTCTCGGCCCTGACTTTCAACGCGCACATGATCCACTATTCGAAACAATGGTGCCGCGAAGTAGAAGGCCACCGAGACATCGTCGTGCACGGCCCCTTGAACCTTGTAAACATGCTTGACTTATGGCGTGACAGCGGAGGGGTGAAGGGGAGTGAGTTTCCTAAGCGTATTAGCTATCGAGCCTTGTCTCCTGTCTACGTTGGTGAACCATACAGAGCTGTGCTAGAGGGAGCCGAGGCTGAACAGGCAGAGGTGAAGTTTTGGACGGCAGATGGCAGGCTAGCCATGCAAGGAGCTATTGCACCTTGAAAGCGAACTTTCTCATCAAGGCAAGTCACGCGACAACAGTAAGACCCTCAGGAGTAGGGACAGAAAGCCCAAAATTATATAAGTTATACACCTAGACTATTGAGAGATGGTAACTGTAGCTTAGTTAAAGCAGTTGCGCCTGCTAGCTAGCGAGTGCTGGTGAAGTTGACAACCTGACAGACACACTCGTATGCTACCTGGCTATACGCTCAAGCACTCATTTTTCCCAGGCCTGCTCTTGCCTCCCCGCGTCTTCGACCCCCAATACAGCAAGACCAGCGCTGTGAGACCGCACGTCAACCCAAACCATATCCCAAGATACGGCGATACAATTCGGTCACTGTCTTCGGGGATCCATTTGAAAAAAGGCATAGAGAAGAATGTCTTCTCAACAGAGAGAATTAGTCTTAGACCAACGTAGCAGGATTGCTGCAGGGAACTCACCGCAAGAGACATTCCCGGGAGGAATATCATGCCGAGGAAAGCAATGGTCTTCATCCGTCCACTGTCCCTTGACGTGTGTTCTGCGATAGTCATGTTTGCCCTTGCATCCTTGCGCGAATAATGGTTCCATTCCTGTTGTGGAAGCAAGCCCGTGTAAGTGTGTGGGACAAAGTTTGGCATTTGGGAATTGTACCATTTGCGTTGCCAAGGACATGCCTCCGAGAAGGGTTTCGAAGTGACTAATCTTGCTATCCAACTCGTCTATCATCTCCCTCAATCTCGCCTCAATCCTCTCTCCGACCTCCCGCTCGTTGACATACGTGTCCCCTCGATCACCTTGCGCGATTGGATAGTGCGTTTTTGCTAACCACTCTGAGTGCTCTATCATCCGTACGAGCTGTGCCTTCATTCCCGCCAGCCCTGTCTTCAGCAAGCACGCAGTCATCCAAATGTCGGTAGCTGCAGAGTCAGTAAGCTCAGAGTCGCTTTCCTCCTTGGGTTCGAGGTATTCCTCAAAGGGGCCATTGGGGGTCTCTTGCTCGGATCGTTCCCTCGGTTTCTCGTCGGAACGGAATTTGTGTTTCAGATAGTTTATCCTATCGTAAACCATACCTTTTTGACCGTCAAAGTCATCAAGGAGACGCCGCCTCTCCAATTCGGCAAAGACCATGGGGAGCAGTAGAGGATGCAGGGCCGTGTCAGATTGGGCAATCTGGTTCATCAACCATTTAACATGATGAAAAGTACTCTCGGTGACCCCGTAGATAATCCCATACGTCTTCCCTAAAGATGGAAAGCTCGTCACCGACATGGCAATATCCTTCCCTTTGGGGCATGATTCCGTATCAGACTGGCAATTATACACTATACGAGTTAGAGCCCGGTCCCAACACGGTCGCCAGCGTGACCCTGAATTGGGCGGAGTGACTTTCACTTACCAATCGACGGTCCGAACGACATATCCACGTCAGGCCAAATAACCGTACGGCATGTAAAAACCGCGGTGGACTTTCTACAGACCACATAACTGATGGACCTGTGCTGAAATAATGTTTTGGCGGCTAGTTTGAAGGTTTCCTGAGTGTGCCGGACAGCAGTAGCCGCCGGAATTAGGCCAGAATTGCTATCTTTCCTTTCGACTCTCGGGTGCATAGCGAGAACTATGCTCGACTGAGGTCGAGAGGATGGTGACGGTATCTGGGGACGCATCGTTCAGCGTAAATCCGGGAACATCGGCTTCGTCGACTTACCATCCGCAGCCATTCCCTGTAATCTTCTTCTGTCATGCAGACACCATTGCTGCATTTCCGAGCCCCCGTCTACCAAACGTCAGAATAAAATTCGACCTTTATCAGAAGTTATTTCAAACATACACTGTCCCTTACTATCTCCACAGTCTGGACCGCACAAGTGGAATCGGGATAAAAGTCGAACTGACTGAGATCCCAGTCACTGAATGTATTTTTTTGATTCAACCATTCCATGACTGACACTGATTCACCAAAAAGTAAGATCGGCAAGAGCGTAGTTAATACACGATGTCGCCGGGCTTGCTGCAAAGAAGTCGCTCAAGAGGGGAAGCTCCGCGTTGAGACACAACGGGATTTCTCCTCACCTAAAATTACCGGTTTCTCAGGGCAGCGCGTGGGATACTCTTGGAATTCGCAGCTCATAGCTACGCGTAGTACCAAAGGAGTGTTGTGATCATATTCGTGCACAGCCAAGTGGCTGTTCAAGACACGTACACCAATTCGTATCCAGACACACCAATACACAGCATGACATAGCCCGCTCTACCCGATGCCGTGTTCCTTTAGCAATCATACTCTCTCCTACACTGAACGTTGTGCCATGTCGGAGTTGATCCAGGACAGATAGTTGTGAGACGGATCATTGAGGCCTGACCGCAATAAAATCACACATGCAAAAAAAAAGAAATTGCAAAAACAAATAACTATGTGTCCAATGGCCCTGAAACAGCTCCCGCCGGAAGCCGCTGCAAGACTCCTTCAAGAACTGGTGGGCTTCGTTTCCGCTGGTCTACGGAATACAATGCTCGGGACACACACACACACACACACACACACAATGGATACTAGAGAAAGCCGCCAGAAACAGAGCAGCCATGTAGAACAGTTGCTTCACAAAATAGATGAACAAGAGGTAGAATATCAATTGATAGGGACGAGAATTAACAGTGAAAGAACTGGATTGTAGTAACTAAAATGACTGGAGAACGGCTGAAAACTAGAAGCCGAATACTGTGATTATGGGTGAACTTATTGAACTGTAACGGCTGATTGCTCGTACGTGAATAGGATCCGTCAATGCCTCCCATATCATTCAGCACCCACCGTGACAGTCAGGGCTTGCCTAGCTGGTCCGCCACGGGCACCTCCGACTCTAGATAAGAAAACAACATGTTCCGCCAAAATGCAGCATACCGACAGCTCAGTGCAACATCAACAATCCATCTCGGTAGCACAAAAGATGCACTTCTGACGTCTTTCGTGCGTGACGGCCCTTACCAGACCTACATATATGACAGCTGTACCCCAATGCAGCACACCATGGCGGCCCCAAAAGAACAGGAAGAGGCTACGTCCTGGCTTCACAGAATCACAAGTTGGATAGCCGGACTTTTCCAAAGCAAAATGGCGAGTTCCCCAGTCTACTGTCAGACGGTCTTTTTCGACTCTCGATACAGAAACGAGAAAGCTATTAGGAAGGGCTTGCATATGGTCGGCTTCGTAGACGAACAGTTCCAAATGAGGGTATGCTGATACTATTTGAACACGTTAACCCACTCCATATTCAAATCTCTGACAACGCAGCACGGAATGCTAATTGAAATGAGCGATCATTAGGATTTGGGTTCTAGAATTGCGGTCGACTTAATCTGTGTCCTCCGAAATGTAAGTGTCTATCAAGCTGTCGATCTTGTTACCTGATTCTTTGGGGATTGAACTGACTTGGAGAAGTACCAACGGGACCAAATAAACCAATACCTTGAGTACTCTTACCTCTTGGAGCGGGAGCAGGAGCAGCAGCAACAGGAGCAACTGTCAGGGCTACAGGGCTAGGGACGAGGGAATCGTCGCGGGAGCACGGGAGCTTGGTTTTCTTGTTGCCTTTGCCCTCGTGTGGTGCAGCGTCTAGAGGGGCTTCGAACTTGGGCTTGGGCTGCTGTAGCAGCCCAGGGCTAGTGGAGTGGCGAGTCATCACTTGGCATGTTGAGGTCATGGAAGAATTGCAGAACTTCCTGTGAAGTGGCCCTTTCAGATACGCAGACGGCCAGCATGCCCCGCTCGACAAAATCAATAAATCTTTTCGTCTTCTCATTGCAGATTTTCTCATTTCTCAGCCGTTCATTGTGCTTTCAGGGGTAATTAGCTGACATATGTTGCGCGAGGGTCAAACCACAGTTGTTAATAACTCACCTCGATCACGGACTTGCGGAGTTCAGCGTCCACATCCGCTTGCTCGTTGCGCTTCAGACGAAAGAATATTGGCGTCGTTTCTTTAGTCATCATGCCCAATTGCTCGAGTGCTCCAGTATCGTGGAAGTCCTTCTCACGGGCACTCCTAAAATTTTCAATGTCGACATAGGAGCCCAAAACACACCAGATAACAAATTCAAGAAAGACACAACCTAGGCTCCAAACGTCACCCTTCAGCGTCAATAGAGCCTCAGTATTCGTATTCGACAGGTCGAATTCCGGTGCGTAGTATATCTGAGGCCTAAATGTTTCCGAGCTCCCCGTCTCGCCTTGGGCATTGACCTGCCGTGCAAACTGGAAATCCGCGATCTTAAGGGTGTAGGATGTCCGCTGATTGACCCTCGTTTGGAAGCAGAGGATGTTTTCCGGCGTGATGTCCGAGTGCAACTGAGGCGTAGGCGGAGTTTGGCCCTGTAGAAGGCTGTCGGTTTGATAACCATGGATGAAACTGAGACCATCAGCAAGACCAGAGCACTGCTCCAAAACCCATGCTAACGAGTAGCACTCAGTTGCTTTCGAATCCGGGTTCCCGCTGGATGGGACTTTGTCTTTCCACAAGCTCTCGAGGCTGCCCCCATCCGCCCAGGGAAACAAAAGATATGGCGTTTCGCCGTGATAGAACGCTGCCAGTAAAGGGACAATATTCCTGTGCAGCGATGAAGTTCTCTTGATGCCGTTGAATTCTGCCTGGAAATCTACCCACTTCCGTTTGGGAGACCTTTGGGTCTTGACAGCGAAGTATGACGCGTCATCCTTCGTCGGCGCATCAACCTTCTCCCACAACATGTCAACGATCGCCCCTGCGGATTAAGAATAGGGGTTCGGAACATACCAAATCATGGTGTCGTGCCCTGATACCGACTTTCTTAACGATTGATTGTCGTATATGATAGGCTATGCCACTGTTTCCGTCATGGCCCTGGTCTGGAATGCTTTGACAGTCGGCCCAAGGAAGCGAGACCTCAGCTGGTAGTCGCACAGGCACGAGCTGTGATATCTCCAATCTTGGGAAAAATGGTGACCACAGAGGCCACTGGTATCGGCACAGGCGACTTACCTCATGGGGTCGCCACTTTTCAACCTGGCCAACTAAAAAAGTATCCCCAGAGGAGGTTTCAATCCCTCCGTTCCTGACGCGGAGAGGAAGACTCCAGTCGCATATTCTTTCTGCGTGCAGGAGGGGGATACATTCCTCCCGCTTAATGAGTAACAGCAACATGAACAGAACCTTGGATCCAGTGCACCGTTCCTCCCCGCAGGAGCATTGGCCGGCTTTTGGGCAAACATACTCCGCCAGCGTCTCGTAGGTGTCCTCGGTGCAAGGGAAAACTTGGAGGAGATTGGACACGTTCTCGTGGTTGAGGTTTTGCAGGAGTTTCCTACGAAGCTCAGAGCGTTCGACCTCGTTAGCCGATCCAGTATTCGAAGCGAGCTGCAGGATTTGCGAAACGAAGTCGCGAGCAGCCCCAGTAGCATTTGGACAGTTCGTGGATTCGCACTTCTGAACAAAGCGTTCGGTTGGAAGATGGCATGAGGAGTCCATCGTAGAGTGAGGGGAAAAGCATGATCCTCAACATCAAGTTCAAAGATGGCCAGAAGGAAAAGGGAGCAGGATTTATACCGAGACTCCCCGTTACCAATATCATGACTTTGCAAAGCTGCCTGGCCAAACCGAACCACGGCCAAGCGATTTTGAGTATGGCCGTGGCCCTGAATTCCGTGGGGGCTTCTCGAAATGGGCATAATGCTAGCCACCTGGAATCTCGCGGTCCATGGGTCAAAGGACTCATAACCAAAGAGGTATCCAGAAGAGAATAGCTGCCTGCGAAAAGTCAACATTTTGCTGCCGGAAACAGCGCCGCATGTGCGAAACGAGCGCGAATTTTCGACACAACGCCCAGCGACTCTCTAGTACTGTGGCCTATTTTGAGTGCGAATTGCGGCTGCTCTTAGCGAAGCCGAGAGAGATGCTTGGCGTGGGACCTTCGTAAAATTAGAAGCAGCTTCATTCTTCGATCCGTAGGCACCCAAGTCAATTTCACTCTGTCTCCGTCTCGCCTTTACCTATTAATCCATGCTGTTGGCTAATGCAGGGTTTGTGATTTGCTCCTTCATTAGATAGAAACCAAACGAAACGGAGGATGGATGAGGCATCTGACACTCATGGCGGCATGATTCACAAAGGTTGACATACTAGACGTCTCTGAATCTGACTGCTATTTATCTACGTTGATTTGAAGTAAAGCATCATTGATAAATGCGTCACATACACGATGGACGCTTCGCGAATCAATAGAGTGACTCAATCATGTGTAGCATCTTGGACCAGCAAACGGGGGTTCTCGTACCGTTTCGCGCCGTCTTAATCTGCATTATCGTTCCCAGTCACAACAGCATCTTGTCAGTGTGCCCTTTCAATTTAGACCACGGCATTGGCCATGCCAGAGAATGTACGGCGTCGGCCTCTTAGTGTCTGTCGCTCTCTCGTCACGGAATCAGCAGCGCGGAAGCGCTGGAGAAAGAAGTTGCTCCACGCCAGCACCTTCTCTTCGCGACCAAGTCCCTCTTTCTCGCTAGAACCATATCGAACATTTCATCACTTTTCAACACTACACATTACTAGAGCCATGAAGTATTTCTCTAGCCCAATATCCAGTGTTCTACCCTCCGTTGCTGTAAATCCGGACTGTTCAATCAATCAGTCGACTCGCCCCCGTGATAACGTTTCCCGAGCCCCCGACCTGCGCGGTTCAGATGGTCAACAAGAAAATAGCATCCCTTGGTCGATCGCAAAAATCGTATCGAATTCAGGAGTGGTGGTCAGCTCCTTATCTCCCTCAATCAAACTGCAGGCCGGCCCGTCCTTGAGAACACGGAGTGGAGAAGTGGGTATGAAAGTGGGCATGAACCGATGACGTGGGGCCGAACTTGCCGGACAGACGGCTCCGAGCGGGAATGGCTCGCAGTGAAAACCTCGTAGTCTTGCACAACCACCCCCATTTCCCTCACGATCTCCTGGGCTAGACTTGGAAATCTATTTTTTTTTTCTCAAAGTGGGTAATTAAGTATGACCTGCCACGAACGCAGATCAACTCTTAGGAACGCCGTTGCCGCGCCCTAGAGAATCAAATCTAGTGAATCTGTTCATAGATTTTCCCAGGATGATGGAAGTCTTCTTCTCCAGTCAGAAATGAGGTTCATCTTGTCTCACCTTCAAAGGCACCACTTTTTTTACATCACCGTGATTGTGATTGAGACAAAGACGCTCTTAAGCGTACCCACGGTGTTTCTATAGATCAACGGAATACAACGTTAGGAGAACTGTATTATAATAACAACCGGCCGGAAACCGGAAGCTGAACACTACACTAATGAATGAACCGATTGAACCGTAATGACTTATTGAATTGAACCTGTCGGTGAAAAGAACCTGAAACAACCTATTTCTGTTTTATTGGGCCCTATTCGCATATCTTCCACGTCGAGAGATCGCTTTATACAACGAGCACATCCAACACTGTCACAATAGCAGGAGATATATATGTATAAGAAACCATGTGTGACGATCTGCCAGAATTGTAGCATGCCGAGCAACTTCAACAAATATATCCCGGCGACACAAGAGTTGCACTTTCTAGCTTTTCCGTGCATGACAGCCCCCACTAAACCTACTTGTATTCTCATTATATCCTCTAAGAACAATACCCTATGGCGACCTCACGAGAACCAGACGAGACTGTATCCTGGCTTCGCAGAATCATCACCCGAATGCCTAGACATCGCACCAAATGGTGGAAGCCCCGAGTCTTCCGTCACACAGTCACTTTCGCCTATGATGGAAGGCGAATACATCCGAGGCTTCTAAGGCATGCCTTGAACTACATCGGATTTGAAGATGACGAGTTCCGAATAAGGGTATAAGATTACTATTTAAATATACTAACTTCCTTAATACTTAAATCTCTGATGATATAGTATAGTGGGCTAATTAAAATGAATAAGAATTAGGTTTTCGATAGGTGGGTTGAGGTCGATTTCGTCCGCGTGTTCCGAGATGTAAGTGGTCATCAGCTCGCTTGAACTTGCTACCTGATTCTTTGCGTATTGAGCTGATGTGGGAAAGTACCAACGAGCCCAAGTCGATCAAATTACCATGAGTCATTGGGGGCTGCCAGAGCCAGGAACAAAGGATCTGTCGTAGGAAAGCGTCTGAGGCACTGAACTTGGACCTCGGCTCTTGTGATAAGATCCCAGGGCTATCGAAGCGGCGGGTTATCACTTAGCATGTTTAGGCTATGGAATTGCAGGGCTTCCCCCGAAATGGCCCTTTCAAGAGACACCGACGGCCAGCATGTCCCGCTCAACATAGTTAATGAACTTTTCGTTTTCGCGTCGCAGCTTTTCTAATGCATTATTTGGATCACCAGTAGCCTAGCGTAGTGCACCAGCCAACACTTCAGCGCAACTAACAGGAAATCAATATGTGACAACAGACAAGCCATTCCAACCGATAATCCTCTTTTCCCACCCCGTCCCTGTCTTTCTTTGGGCCTGTATACGAAGGCAGACAAGTGCTTGAAAGTAAATACGCATATTGTGATGAGACGAATCGCCATGGCGGAGGACAAAGGCGCGACCTGCGTCGACTGCATCATCAAACGTTTTCTCAGGCCAGAGCCCACACCGACCGTCATCGCTGATCCACTGTATAATTCGATAATCTTTCCCATGGTAGTATTTTGATTCTGGATCTTATTTAGATCCAATTATATAATCTCCAGCTGAGGTACCGACTTGTGGTTGCAAGATTTAGTCGTGGTGGTTGAAGGTTAAACCATAAAAGAGAACATGAAAAGAGGAAACTAGACGATGGAACTAACAAAGAGACGCAAGTATCTCGGTCTCCTTCCCTTGTGACAGGTTTAAAACCAATCTGCCGGACGTTATCGTTCCTGGGTATGGATGTACGCCGTCTCAAGAAGCCTATCGGCTTGTATAGATCGGGTGGATTTCTAAATTCTCTCCTAAATAGGCGGGGTTTAATCAGAAAATAATAATAATCTCTGTAACATCCCCCATCCAACCGTGATGCCGGTTCGATATGTTCGCCCGTCGGTGGTACCCATACAAGACGAAGTGTCAGACCATTCTTAAGTCTCTCCGGTTCCGAAAGAAAATAAACAGAAATAAGTTCTCCTGTGAACCTCGCCGCTTGAAATGGCTGCGCGGGTTCACAAGGATGTCGGGTGCTTCGCGCCCTTTGCTTGACTAGTGCTCGAAAGCCACGTCGACCAGGATAGTTTATCATTACTGGTGCCGAGGATTCACAACAAGAGCTCAAATTCAACTATAAAGGCCCGAGTATTCGCAACTTTTAACAGCTTACTCCTCGTCAACTCATCGCCCCCTTCCATCATTCCATAAAGCAACAACTCAATTCCACTATTCCACAATGGCTGCCTATTACGAAGACTCGTCTTTATTCCCCATGGAGGGCGGCTGCTCGTGCGGTCTCATCCGCTACCAAGTCACCAAAGCCCCCATCGTCGTCCACTGCTGCCACTGTACCTCCTGCCAGCGCGAAAGCGGCGCGGCCTTCGCCATAAACGCCATTGTCGAGTCCACGTATCTGAAGCAGCTCTCCCCCGGCCAGCCCATTGTCCCTGCCGGTGGCCAAGGAACTGTTCCCCCGGCCCCCGCTTTCCCTATTCTGGCGCACCCGCCACACGGGGGGGACTTGCCTGACGACGACCTACCCCTTCGGTATGCCTTAATCGACCGCCCAGATGACGCACCGGCACCGAAACGTGTCACTCTGCCGACCCAATCTGGGCGTGGTCAGTCCGTCGCTCGCTGCCCGAGCTGCGGGGTGTGCGTATGGAGCCATTATGGAGGTGCGGGTGGATATTTTGCTTTCGTTAAAGTCGGTACCCTTGACGAGGCGTGGAGGGTTAATCCCGACGTGCACATTTACACGAGGAGCAAGAGACCGTTCGTCACGTTGGATGACGGGGCGAAGCAATACGAGGCTTTCTACGCTCATTGGAATGAGGTGTATCGTCCTGAATCGATTGAGCGCTGGGAGAAGGTGTGGCCGGAGGTGCAAGCATACCGCGTTGCCGCTGCTGAGAGGTTCGAGAGACAGAAACAACAGGGCTGAGCCTGTATCTAGGGCTCGCTGTTTACTAGAGAGTCCGGAAGTTGTCCGCGATATTTGTCCGGGGTATTACCCGGCACCTGTCAGGACAACGTGCTCTGAGCTGCATTATGGCTTGTGTAGCTGCCGGGAAAAGATATGTCGTTTTTAGAATGTCCTACCTACTCGCCATCCTTATGGGCCGGTGACCAGGTCTATAGTGATTTTTAAAATAGTAGGGTTATAATTCCTCGTGCTAATGAATGTGTTAGCGAGTGAATGGTTGCATGTCATCCCAACCTATCGATTCTTGGCGTTCCATTCCAGAGTGGCCTTCAATCTTCGATATTAATGGTCGGAAGGATTTTGATCTTGTCCAATTATGACCCGCGAGCCAATCTTCTCACGTCCACCAATTGTCGTGGTCGGTTGATCATGACGTGGTGACGGTTTCCCCTCTCTTCCATGGTGGTTGCCTAGAGTAAGATGCAGCCCAGCCAGAATGAATGGCGACCTCAGTAACCATATCTAACCCCCCCGAACCCCGCGCAGATTCCTAATTCCAGTCTTTGAAATGTCACAGTCAAGTCTATTCCGCTCCGCTACCTCGCACTTAAAATCCTTGCCAAAATCAATGATACCCCATTCCAAACCTTAACTTGACATCAACTCCAACTTGATAAAAAACACAGTCAGAAGTCAGAATGACACCAAAATATGGCGAGTACACCCAGGCCCTGGCTTCGGCCGCGGGTGACTACGAATGCCGGCGAGCTGGCATAAAAGAGAGAGCCGATGGCACCTGCGAATGGATCTTGGAGCAGGGCATGTTCAAGCAGTGGCTCTCAGACGATGGTCCGTCTCTCCTTTGGCTCACCGGGATCATGAAATCCGGCAAATCAGTTCTCGCGGACTTCCTAGCCAGTGATCTTGCTTCTCGGAAACCAGATGCGATAATATGCTCGTACTTCTTCCCGGAACCGACTATGTTTGAGAAGAAGCCCATCTTTACGGCGGATGCAAGCCAAGCTCTCGCTGCTCTCCTTCACCAAGCACTCACAAAAGAACCCACGTTGGTTGCAGCTGCGAGGGCTCGGATTACAGAAAATGAAATCACCTCCTCACGAATTCCCACTGCAGCCCTCACAAGTGCCCTTTTTGATGTTTCCAAGAAGTTCGAAGCTGATGGTCGACGATTGATATGCATCATCGACGGCCTTGACAGTTGTGAGGACAGCTCTAGGGCTGAATTTATTTCCGAGTTAATATCCATCGACGCAAACCTGAAAGGGAATTTGAAGATATTCTTCACCAGTCGGCCTGATTTCGGCGTTTCCCGGGCCTTTGACGACGTCGGTCCACGTATCCGTATTCGAAGCGAAGACATTCCTGCGATTCTGGATCAAGACGTAAAGAAAGTCATTGAGAGCGAAGCTGATGTACTTCAATCTAAAGGGGTTATTGACGCGGTCAGAGCCCGCATTCTTAACCTCAATCTCTGGGCGGATTTGGACGGCTCGTACCTACGGTTTACGTCGATTCTCCAAGCTTTGGCAGAGGACACGTCGGCTGATAAGCCTCTTCGCCAAATTATCTTCGAGAATCGGAAATACTTCGATCAATATTATGAGACGCTGTTGGAGTCCCTGCCGGATGAGAATGGTACTTACGATTTGTTTCATTGTCTCCTGACATCACGAGATAATACCCTCACCTTGACGGATCTTAATGTCCTCCTAGCGCTTGAGGACAAGGTTCAATCCCTTCAAGACCTGGAGAAACGACTTGACCCCGACATTGAGACTACAATTCAACGGCTAGGAGGCTCCTTGGTGCGCATTTCTAGGTCTAGGGTTGGGCTCGTCAGTAATTCCGTCGTGGAGTCCTTCACGCGCCGGTGGGACAAGGACACGAAAGATGGACCACAGCGCTTCGATAAATCGAGTGCCTACCTCACATTGGCGGACAAGTGCACGAAGTTTCTCCTCCTCTGGACCCCTTCATCAATTCAAGGGTTATCAGCTGCTACGAAAGACACATTCGAAACAGCCTCGCGTGTGCCGGTCTTGTACTGGCATACTTACGCCAAAAACGCCGGGTTCCATGGCGAAAAGAAACCTCGGTCCCCTCCAGCTGACACTGGTCAGGTCGACCGTATATGGGGAGCAATGCAGAAGCTGTGTGACCCATCGCAGGATTACATTGGAACTTGGTGGCGGTACTTTGTAAGGGCGTCCGGTTACCGCTGCTACAAAGACGGCGATACATGGTACGAAGAAGTGAAGAAGCAGCAGCAGCAGCGTGAACCGATCGACTTTATTCGCCGTACAGTTTCCGAGGGCGACGTGACGATTTTACATCATCTCCTCTGCTTGAGGGACAAGGAGAATACGGCGAATGCGATTCTAGAAAGAGCAGCAGACGACACAGACCTGCTTCAATATGCAATCCAGCGGGACAAGGGCGAGGTTATGAGCTATATTCTTAGAGTCCACGGACACCTCCCTCTCCAAAGGGAAGTTGCGCTTGGCGAAGTTCTCGACCGAAACTCTACGTTGCTTCGATATCTTCTTTACCCAGAAGGAGACATCCCACCGAAGACGCTTTTAGCGCTTGCCACCACCATACCGAGGCCCAATATGTCCGAAAACTTGGACGAGGAGAGTAAAGAGCTGTTATCTCGCCATCTGGCTCTCGCGTGTCTATCCTCAGGGGATGAACTTGTCACGCAGCTTATCGAAGAAGGAGCCGACGTCAATGCAGCCACATGTGGATTGACGCCGCTGATGATTTCAGTGCTTGGAGACAATCCCAAGGTGGTGCGTCTGCTGTTGGATAAAGGAGCCCGGTCAGATTATGTGTGTCACTATGAGGATAGTGGCGTGGAACCGGCCCTAATTTACGAGGAGCTAGCTGAAGGTGGTATTAAGGGGAAACTCTTAGAGCACAATATTTTAGTTGTGATGCAATGCCTCTGGGACTTCTTACAACGCGAGAAATTTGTCGAGACGCCGTTAACGCTAGCTAGCCGCCTCGGCCAAACGGGAATTCGCTCCATGCTAACGGGCGACGACCGAGCCACCACAGCAACGACTACGCTTATCGCCCGAAGAGCCTTGGGTATCGAGAATGGAGACCCTAGTCCCGAACTCCGTCAAGTCATACTAAGAAACTTGGATCTCCTCGAGAAACCCAATGTTCTAGGCCGCGAGCTTTGTCATATTGTTGCCAAAGGAGACGCCCCGTCTGTCACCGAGGAACTGATTGTCTGCGATGCCATGAACGCGGCAGCAGATGAGGCTGGTAAGATGCCCATGCACTCGGCAGCGGAGAGCGGAATGACGGAGAATCTCGAAATCTTCATAAAGTACGGGGGAGAGGATGCGCTACTTGCCGCCGATAACAAAGGGTGGGGATGTTTCCAATACGCACTTCGGGCCGGCCGGGTCTCAACGGTGACGAGTCTGCTCGAAAACCACCCAATCATACGTACTATAAAACGTCCCGATGGCATGACAATGCTCCACAACGCCGTCTACGGAGCCGTAAACAAAGGCTGCCTAGACATTGTCGAGACCGTGCTCGGACAACAGAATTGCAACATCGATGATCGGGACGATAAAGGCCGCACCGCCCTACACCATGTGATTGAGGCTGTCCTGCAGTTGCAGACGCCTGACTCCCAAAATTTGTCCATTGGCGCAGAGGTGGCCAAGTTGCTTGTGGTCCGCGGTCTGGAGTACCTTATTGCGGATGCCAATGGGGAGACACCTCTATCGTTTGCGAAGAGGAGACGGAAGGAGAATCAGAAGGGCGAAGATGGAGGCCTGGAGCCTCGCATCATCGATGCGGTGAGAGATGTCGAGGATATTTTGAGACGGGCGCCGTTGTGGGGGGATAATAGGTTGAACCAGGCCCAGATTATGGCCAACTACCAGCAGTTTCTGGCAGGGCGCTGAGTCGAATCCCGTTTACCGCCGTCGCTGTTGAGCAATTGTATAATATTAGATCTAATTATTCCCGCTTGGGGGGGTTTGATCGTTCCGTTAAATTCAACCCGGGCTTTGCGTCACCCAGATCGCGCAATTGATCTTGACGAACCCATGCAATTAGATGAGATAGTTTACCATTACCTGGATTTTTAGGTGCCCTCTTGGTTTTACTCCTCTCTCTCCTCGAGTATTCCCTATTCAAAGGCCATTAGCAGCCCAATGAAAGACTTGCTAAAACAGATGTCGGCATCCCTGTCAGGCAGTTGGATGGCCGCCAAGGGATACTCCACTCGGCTAACCACTAGATACATTTCAAGAGAGAAGTTGGAGAGTGGGGAATTTTTCCAGAGACATTGGTGCGCCTACTCGTTCCGTTCTCTGGTCGGCATCGGCAGGGTCGGGCGCCGTCCTCATGTTAGTGTGGGCACCAATGTGCCTCAGTCTCCCTTCGATCGGAGCCCCTCGGCACCGACAATGAATGGCGACTCCCGTTAAACCCCCAGACTTGCCACTTCGATCATAATCTTCACTTCGCTTCTCCACTCACATCCGGTTCTGGACGTAGGATGCAACCTGAAGATGCGTTAGTAACTGAGAGGTTTTTTCCGTTCTATAAAGCCGAATGAACGGTTCCAATGACGATGCTTCTTCTCTTTCGTCGGCTGCGGATCATATAAACGCCTCAAGATCTACCAAACTCATCAGCCTTAGTATCAAGCCCGGTTCCGGGAGAGAAACGGATGCGTCGGAGGAGCTTCCAGATATTCCTTGCTCTACCTTGGACCGTCCACGTATGTCCGACCAGCCGTGCCAACTTTAACTTTCAGAAAGGCTCCACTTGTAACATCCAAGTTTCCAATCCTGAGCGATTGCATCCTACGATGAATTAGTGGACTCGTCCACCTTTGCATGATTTCTGCCGTTGAGATTACAAACCAGGTCCGGAAGGCCGGGGGTCTCGGAGGGTGCAATGACGTCTGATGTCTTGGGGAGATTTTTCTCATCTCCATATTACATGAGACAGACTCTTGCCATAATTTTAAGTGCAGGTATTCCCGCGACCGACAAAGCATTTAGACCACATGAATAGCATAAATTGTACGATTCCATCTCAATGCCAGCCTCGGGCCTCTGTCGGAGAATCGAGTTGGCAACTTTGTACCATGGACCCGCTAGCGAGAAGCTAGTTGAGCTCTGTCATTATGGCGAGCAGCGATGAGCTTTGGAGGACGATATCAGCCGAGTCCTACCTTGGCGAGACAGAATACCAGCGAGAGATATACGACACGGGGGTCGATACAACTACTGGCATTGCGCACGCCCAGCCGGACGAGAAGATAGACTCGACGGCAATCTCGATAAAATCTTTCTACGACAAGACGAGAGATCCGAATGAAAAGCCGCCAAGGCTTGGGCTGACCTGGACGGATCTATCGGTTCGTGGAGTAGCCGGGGGCCTTCGAGTTCACGAAAATGTGCTGTCGCAGTTTAACACCCCGCGGAGATTCAAGGAAGCGAGACAAAACAAAGCACACAAGGACCTTAGAATCATTCTGGACCGAGTTCACGGCTGTGTCAAACCTGGAGAAATGTTGCTCGTCCTCGGTCGGCCCGGCTCTGGCTGCACCTCACTTCTTAACATTCTCGCCAACCGGCGTTACGGATATGAAGAAATTGAGGGTAAAGTTCGCTTTGGGGCCATGGATGAGGTGCAGGCTCGACAGTATCGCGGACGCATCGTCATGAATACCGAAAACGATTTCTTCTTTCCGACTCTAACCGTAGACCAGACGGTGGAGTTTGCGACCAAGATGAAAATCCCACACGATTCATGCCCCATTCCGGCCGACTTTGCCACTCCGAAGGAGTACAGGAACGCTGTCAAGACTTTCATCCTCCGCACCCTTGGCATTTTCCACACCAGCGACACGATGGTGGGGAATGAGTTCATACGTGGCGTCTCGGGAGGCGAGAGGAAGCGAGTGTCTATTGCGGAAGTGCTGGCAACAGATGCTAGCATCTATTGCTGGGACAATAGCACGAGGGGCTTGGATGCCAGCAATGCGCTTGAATGGACTCGAGCGGTACGGGCAATGACGGACATTCTAGGTCTTACCACCATCGCGACGCTTTATCAGCCTGGAAACGGCATTTATAATTTATTCGACAAGGTCCTGGTGCTAGACGGAGGGAAAGAGATCTTCTACGGGCGGCGGGAGGAGGCACGGCCCTTCATGGAGAGTCTGGGATTCGTGTGTGCTGGTGGCGCAAATATTGGCGACTTCCTTACTGGCGTGACGGTCCCATCGGAGCGTCAGGTTCGTCCCGACAAGAGGGCCTCGTTCCCCAGGAGTGCTGTGGAAATCGAGGCTATTTACGATAAATCAGAAATCAGAATGAGGATGGCTAAGGAGTACAGCTATGGCGAGAGCGACGCTGCCGTATCAAATACCAAAAGCTTTCAGGATTCAGTGGCACACACCAAGTCCGCAAGTCTGGCTCACACTTCACCGTTTACAGTCTCATTTGCGCAGCAGGTGAGGGCACTAACCGCTCGTCAATACCAACTGCTCTGGGGAGATAAGGCAACGCTCGGCATCAAGCAGGCCTCAACCCTGATCCAGGCATTGATTGCTGGATCTCTCTTTTACAACGCCCCTGCCAATTCGCATGGGCTCTTCATCAAAGGCGGCGCATTATTCTGGTCAACCCTGTACCACTGCCTAGTCGCTATGTCTGAAACCATCGCTACTTTCTTTGGACGTCCCATCCTCTCGAAGCACAAGGAGTTTGCCTTCTACCACCCAGCCGCTTTCTGCTTAGCGCAGATCGCCGCAGACATACCACCATTGTTCGTCCAAGTTACCGTTTTTGGAATTATCGTCTACTGGATGGCGGGACTTAGAGAGACTGCCGGAGCCTTCTTTACCTATTGGCTTCTCATTTTCTCCAACTCCTTCTGCATGACAGCCTTTTTCCGGTTATGCGGTGCGGCTTTCCCGACGTTTGATGCAGCTTCCAAAGTGTCCGGATTTGTTATCAACGCTGTTGCGACATACACCGGCTTCATGATTCCCAAGCCTGGTGAGCGCGTACCTCCCTCTTTTGACCCACAAACGGCAAGCTGAAGTTAGGTTCTTATGCTGACGTCCTATAGAAATGCATCCGTGGTTCGTTTGGATTTATTGGATCAACCCATTAGCGTATACCTATGAGGCATTGGCCGCCAACGAGTTCCACAACACTGTCATCCCTTGCGTCGATAACAATCTGGTGCCTTCTGGCGACGGCTACACAGATTCGAACTTTGCCGCTTGCACTGGAGTCAGGGGCGCAACCCCAGGCGCCACTTTCGTTACGGGGGATCAATACCTAGACTCTCTGTCATATTCGCGGTCCCATCTATGGAGAAACTTTGGCATCGTTTGGGCTTGGGCGGCGTTATTTATCAGTTTAACGATCTTTTTCACAACTCGGTGGCGAACGTATATCGGGGGCGGAATCCATCTCGTTCCCCGAGAACGGATGGCCCGGAATAAACCCCTCGCGCCAAAGAAGGATGAAGAGTTCCAAGCTGGTTCGGGCTACCAGAGCACCGCACGGAGTGAGAATTCAGTCAAGGCCGAGCCGAACAACTCGGACGTGTCGGGCAATTCCCTTATGAGAAATGCTTCGGTTTTCACCTGGAAGAACCTCAGTTATACGGTTAAAACGCCGTCGGGAGACCTCAGGCTTCTCGACAACGTCAGTGGATGGGTCAAGCCAGGCATGCTTGGAGCTCTAATGGGAAGCAGCGGCGCCGGTAAAACCACATTGATGGATGTCCTGGCTCAACGAAAAACCAAGGGGACGATTACCGGCTCAGTTCTCGTCGACGGACGTGAATTGCCAGTCTCATTCCAACGGTCCGCTGGATACTGCGAACAATTCGACGTGCATGAGCCATTTTCGACCGTCCGGGAAGCTCTCGAGTTCTCGGCGCTTCTGCGGCAGAGGCGAGATACACCCGACAAGGAAAAGCTGGCCTATGTCGACACGGTAATCGACCTCCTCGAGCTTCGAGACATAGAGCACAGTCTCATCGGGCGCCCGGGAGTTGGGCTGTCGGTTGAGCAGCGCAAGCGCGTTAGTGTCGGGATAGAGCTTGTCGCTAAACCTGGTATCCTGATCTTTTTGGATGAGCCTACGTCGGGCCTCGACGGCCAAGCCGCCTACAATATTATGAGGTTCCTCCGAAAACTGGCTTCCGCCGGTCAATCTGTTCTTTGCACTATCCACCAGCCCAGCGAGCAAATTTTCTCTCAGTTCGATACCCTTCTACTTTTGGCAGAAGGCGGTAAGACCGTGTACCTGGGAGATATCGGCCCAGGAGCCGCCACTCTCAAGGGCTACTTTGCTCGACACGGCGCTCCCTGCCCTCCGGACGCAAACCCAGCCGAGCATATGATTGACGTGGTATCGGGGGTAGAACACGAGAAAGATTGGCATCAGGTGTGGCTGCATTCGTCGGAGTATGAACAGGCTATGGCGTATCTCGACAGCATGATCCGAACGGCTGCGTCGAACCCACCTGGGGTGGCAGATGACGGCCATGAGTTTGCCGCCTCCATGGCAACTCAAACCAAAGTTGTGACGAGACGGATGAATGTCACTCTCTACCGCAATACCGACTACGTCATGAACAAGATCGTTTTGCACATCATGTCCGGTCTGTTCAATGGTTTTACCTTTTGGCAGATTGGCAATAGCATAAAGGATCTTCAAAACGCTCTGTTCGCCATTTTTAACTTTCTCTTCGTTGCCCCCGGAGTCATCGCACAGCTCCAGCCTCTGTTTATCGACCGTCGAGACATGTTCGAAATCCGAGAGAAGAAGTCCAAAACTTACCACTGGGCGCCCTTCGTGACGGGCTTAATCCTATCAGAGGTCCCGTACCTTATCGTCTCCGGTTTTCTCTACTATGTGACCTTTTACTTTACGGTTGGCTTTCCCACGGAAGCCAACAAGGCCGGCGGTGTCTTCTTCGTCATGATAATGTACGAATTTCTCTATACCGGCATCGGTCAATTCATCGCCGCATACGCCCCGAATGCCATTTTCGCCTCTTTGGTAAATCCACTACTCATCAGCATCTTGGTTTCGTTCTGCGGTGTTCTGGTGCCCTACTCTCAGCTACAGGCATTCTGGCGCTACTGGATGTATTACATCGACCCGTTCACCTATTTGATGGGTTCCTTGATCAACTTTGCCCTCTTCGGCCGGCCCATCGAGTGTGAGGAATCAGAACTCGCCATTTTCAACCCTCCGGAAAATAGTACCTGCATCGACTTCCTGTCCGCGTACCTCCAAGGAGCGGGCTCTGGCGCCAATCTCCTTAACCCAGATGCCACAAGCGGTTGCCGCGTTTGTCAGTATGCCTCGGGCACCGATTACCTTCGTACGCTGAACCTAAAGGCCTCTTACTACGCCTGGAGAGATGCGGGCATCGTCGTTGGATTCGTGTTTTCGTCATATGGTCTAGTATATGGTTTGATGAAGCTAAGGACAAGGGCCACAAAGAAGGTCGAATAAACGAGAAGATTTGAGGTTGTATCATTTACTGCACCGCTGTTTAGACCATGCGAATTAACTAGCCTGCCAGTGATGGCAGGGCCCTTGAAAAGGTCAACCATGGAAGAAAGATTCGCCAGGCAAGCCGAAGGAAGTAGGTGTAATAACGGTTCCTCTCTTCTGCTTTTCCATTAAAAGGTCATGATCATCACAATCAGTCCGACGTTCCTCTTTCATGTAGAATTAAACATTACTCCCAGTTCTGCGCCGCTCAAACCAAGCTATCAGTATGGCCTAGTGCACCTCTCAGCTCAGGGAAAGGAATCTCTAGATGTAGAATTTCAACCAGACCAGGTTCATGAATTAGTGATCTCCTTTGGCGTCTACTCCATACAAATTCTACTGCGCACATAGCGGAGACACATCAAGTGAGATTCGGATGCACCTTTTGGTTAATTTATTATTCTGAGCCAGAAAATCTGTAGAGACTAGAGAGCCAGGCAGTCCAGACTCCAGGGGCTTCGAAACGTGACATTTGAAATATACCCGCGCCTCATGCTTAAAGAGCTTATACACTCAATTTCGCGGACCAGGACAATCAATAAATTACCGTAATCACTGCACATATCTGCGCTTGACGTAGACTTCGCTACAGTGGTACTTCCGACATTCGTAGATTATTATTGCATGCGTCCCTTGATGCTCTCAGCCCGCCACATCCCGGCATTCATATCAAAACGAGACGCTACTCACGACTCGGGCAATGGTGCGTTTTTGGCATCCCTTCTCCAGCGGTACATTATTGAATCGATCCGCAATCCAACCTAGATAATCCGCCTGCGCGGCATAAGATACAGGATCGTGGTCCAAGTCGGGGTAAAGTAGGAGCTCTGCCGTAGAATTCGGAAATGCTTCACAAGTAAGATCGAAATCCTCTTCAGTAGCATTTGCATACGTGAGCATGTCGGCAAGGCCCTGGACGACCAGCATAGGCCCGGCTAGCTTATGTGGGCCGGCACCGTTAAACCGTTGTTGCCAATCAAGAAGCTCTGGTAGCTCTAGCCAGCTGATATCCTTGTAGAGTTCGGTTTGAGTAAGATCCGAGTAGAGAGCTATGCCGGTCGCTAGGCATCCGTGATCCGCGAGCGGGATTCTATCAAGGACGATATCGCTGACGTAGTCTTCAACCCGGACGGAGGGAAAGAGGCGCGATACGGATTGCAAGAAGAAGATGGAAACGACGTCGCCAACAGGCCCACCGTTGGCTAGACGGAAAGACTCGGGAATAAGCGACAGAGGACGTAGGGCTGGAGCGGCGGAAACGGCACCGAGAAACCCTCCAGTCGCCTTGCGCGGCCGAGCCTCGCGCTCGTTGGTTCTCCAAGCCGTCATGCCGCCTTCACTATGTCCGACAACGACCCATTCGTGGGTGAGCAGATTCCCGAGGCGGCTTCGCACGGCTTGGACAGCAAAACTAATATCGCCAGCATGTAAAGCCCCAGATTCGTACATGAATCCTTGGGGTATGTCGCTGCCCTGTCCCGCGTAATCAGGGGCAATGACGATGTAGCCCTGTTGGACGAGAGCAAACGGCCCCTCCCATCCGTAGTAAAGAGCTTTGTGATTTGAAGGAGCGCATTGTCTCGTCCCCCCTGCAGTTCCGTGGGCCCAGACAACTGTACGCAGCGCCTGTCCTTCTCCTAGGGGGTTTGAATACGGGATCAAGACGAATCCCGTCGCCGGGATAGCGTTTCCGTTGATATCCTCGCTCATGTAGAAGATTCGAGACAAGGAAACTCCAGAGGGAAGGGACCATATCTGAGAAATCTGCTCGGGGGTCAAGTCGTCCCACTTGACAAGGTCTCCAGCTGCATAAGCGGAGACGTTAGCTGGACTATCGTAAAACTTGTCCGTAGCTACGTCAAAGCTGACCCAAGAGTCAGCCTCGGACGCAAGGGCCTTTTGGTATTGAACATGGCAGGCGACATCGCAAGCCGAAAAGGTATTTTCTGTGCCTGCGTGGCATGGCAAAGTGCCGATGGAGATCAATGAGAGGAGAGTGAGAAGCTTGTGAGTCATGGTGAAAGATTGGAAGATGAGAGTAGAGTCAAGGGGACCGTTGGGAAAACACCTGTTGAGCAGAATTAAAGAGGGCCGAAGGAGGCGGTCCCAGTCTTAATATAGTTATTTTTACGAGACTGTAAGGGCAACCCATCAATATCGTAATATCTTCCGAAGTCTTCAATGCTCTCCTGCCGAGGGTCAAAAGCCGATGGAACATGCCGACGTAGTTAATCCAACCAGAATGCCTCAGTATCCTCGGATGATATATTGAACTCCCATGAACCGTGAAACTCGCACGTCTAGAACGGATATTTTCTGTGAGGTGGGAAATGGATCGGGTCCAGGGATGTTGAGTCGTCGATTTGTGATTGGAACCGCGGACGTGGAGAGATGTCGGGCTATTACTGAAAAAGGAAGCTCCACCCACCATAAGTGGGGCTATCGTCAGTCTCCACTCCAAGTCTCCATCTGGCGAAGGTCCACCGCATACAATATTGGAAATTGAGGCGATTCCAGCCCAGTTTCTTCTCATCAGCTACATACTCATCCTACCTTTGTTGTTGTGCCGACTAGCTCGCGAATGTTGTATTATGGGGCGCGAAGACCTTACGAATACGGAACGTAAGACCCGATCCCGCGGCGGATGCGCGAATTGCAAGAAGCGGAGGCGGAAGTGTGACGAGACGAGTCCCGCTTGTCTTGCCTGCCAGCGCCGAGGCATATCATGCGGGGGCTATGGGATCAATCTACAGTGGAATTGTGGGGTAGCTTCCCGTGGTTATCTGGCTGGCGCGACTCTTCCTATCCTTCCGCCGCAGGACGGCTCAATGGACGAAAATCCCCGGAGACCCGCTCGCCCAGAGACGCGGAACACAGATAAGGGGCAAGATCGACCTTCCATTGTCAACAATCCTCCAATTGGTCAGTCTGCTTGTATAGACGACGATGAATACAGGCGACTTTTCTCCAAATGTTTGTCTCTCCACATGCTCTTCTATCAGACTACTAAGCCTAAGTAAACTACTAATGGTCTTTTCTGAGAATCAGTTCTTCAGACCGGGGTCTATATGATCTACAGGACCTCGACAGACTCCTGGATGAGGAACATGATAGAGGAGTTATCCGAAGAGTCACCGGCTTTAATATCCGTTTGTGCCGCTTTGGAGTTGACACACCCGGCCTATCCTCCAGAACAACACTACTTGTTTGTTGAGAACGCCTTACGCGTTTTCCGATCCGAAATTGCCGACAACGCGACTTTCACAAATTTCAGGAGAGGCACACTGTGTGCCTGCCTACTTATATGTACAATATCTGTAATGTGACCACTGCGCTTCTTGGCCCCTTCTCGGTTGTATGTGCTCACGATCTCCCATAGATCATACAAGGCGTGCGGTGGACCAGTCACTTGCGCTGTATCACGGACATATACAGACTGGACGGCGATCTCGAACGGCTGGCATCTCTCGATGACCCATTTTCGGTCCATCTCCTGGAAGTTGTAGGGGTGATGGACCTACCCAATTTTGTCTTCGGCCGCATCAGCCCACGCCTCGACTTCTGGAAAAGGTTCCGTCAGGCTCAATTCAAGGCGAAGAACACACTGGACAACGGCATTGAAATAGTCAGCGGACTCCCTCGCTCACTCTTGGACATTTTAGCCTGCTTCGATGAGCCGGCCGTAGAAGAGCGGTTATGGCTTTGGCATGGAACAACGGGCCACGTCCTGCAAATCCGGCTCTGGGACGCTTGGCGATTCAGTGGCATTCTGCTGGCACGGCGGACTCAAGGAAGCTACCATACTACCTCGATTTCTCTACCGACTTCAGAAGAGCTCCTAGGCCTCCTCGTCGCGTCGCTGGATTCTTTACGACTAGGCGTGCAACAGCCGGAAACTCAACACTTGCTCATATGCCATGCATTGCTCTATCCGTACATGATCACTGCCTCAGAGTTTACCCTGCTGCGATCCCATCCAGAGTGGAAAGCACAACTGAACCGACTACGCGACTTCTTATCGGAACTCGACCCTACAGATAATTGTCAAATTGGACTCCAGATCATTGATGAGGCTTGGCAGAATGGCGATGAAGCCGTGGACCTCGATGTGGGAGTTAGGCTACGCGGCCTGGAGCTTGCCTTGTTTTGAGAACACTCTACGGTTATTATAGCGACGGAGCAAGGCTCTAATTTCCTATCCGGTCTCATTTAATATTCTGACTCTATCGAGGAAACCATTTACTTCAAGTACAGTTTCGGTTGGCTTCTTAAGATATCTAAATATCTCCCTCATCCCATTCTTTAAGATTCATTCGTGTTCTTTTGTAGGAAGCAATTTTATTTTAGCCCCACAAAATAGATCTCCTTTACAAACAACTTGAGGCTTTACTCGAAAACACAGTATACGCATTGGACTATAAAAGGCGCGATAGAACAACTGGAAAGCCAACTTCATGAGATAACGGGGATCGATGTAGAAGCCCTGCGAGATGGCGCTTCGAGAAAGACTATACCTGTGGCGAGGAAGACAGCATGGCCTTCGTCCCGACAAGCTATGAGGACGGAAGAGACTGCATACTGTCTTCAAGGGCATCTTCGAAGTCAACGTGCCCTCGTTATATGGGGAGAGGGACAAAGAATTCCCACGGTTACAGCAAGAAATTATCAGGACAACACATGGCATGACTCTCTTTGGATGGAAATCCTCCAAAATGTCGCAGTGGTACAACGGAGTTGAGATTCGATTTCTATTCTATTCTTCCAGTAATGTAACTGTCTATTTTTCTTAGTTTTCATTGGGACTTCCATTGCGTGTTTCCATCATTGTTTCCATTGATCAACGGAACATCCCCTCATTAGTGATTACAAACCCCCGCCAATACCGCCTCTCGGCAGTAGAGCATAATGGCTGCCTGGTTGGAGTTTTGCGTAGCTTATGGCCGCAGAGAAACCGACGACGTGAATTACTGTGGTGGTTTATCTCTATTGTCGTTAGGTTCGTTAGTATAAAAGTAGGTTTACCAGGTATGATGGTCTCCCTAGATCCTCGACTTGGTCCTTCTCACAGAAAAAATAAAATAAAATAAATAAATAAATAAAATAAATTTTTTTTTTTCCGTAGGTCGAATCCTAGAGTCCAAATTGAATACTTCTACTTCTTTTATGACCCCTGCTTTACATGATGGCTGCCCCCTTGGCATAAAGTACGTCACTGGAGTTTGTTCAGATACAATCAACATTTTGGTCCAAATAATTCTTTGGGCCTTTGGGCTTGGGTGGGGTGTACAGTAGCTGTAAGGAACCGTCGTTAGCAGTTGCAGGGATTTAGGGACTCTCTCGATGACTCCATGGCCTGTTGCCTTCGACCTGGATGAGCAGCCATCTATCTGTGTTTGTGTAAATGCCAAAGTTGATTGTTGAGAGAGCAATCAAGGCCTGATTGACCTAGGTGGAGGCCGCCTGCAGCGATTGCGCAGCGACCAAACGCCACAATGAAGTGTAATTATTATTAGGGGCTGTTCCTCCAAACTAATCCTCACTCGGCTGCTGTTTGGGGGCTCATCGATGACTCCGCCGAATGACTAACAAGGGCCAAGGAGGCCAAGGACAGGGGTGGGGGCCGGGGCAGGCAGCATCGATCAATTGGTCTCTTGATCCCTGCCTTTGGGGTGGCTGCCTACCTCCAGTTTTCCGTGAGAATTGGGGAGAAACGACGCAAAGGAGGTATAAAGGAATGGCTTCTTCCTTGCCCAGTCTTCATCTTTCAAATTCCAAATCCCAAACTCCAAACTCCGAACTCCAAATTCTTTCTGACTCGTCATTCCCAAGCAATGAGAAACTGGGCTGACGGCTCTTCTAACCTCCTCGGGCTTGCCTCCATCGGCAACCTGGTTGGGGCAGAGCCTAAAATAGCGTCGTTTATCGAATCGTCGCCGTTATTATCCTATATCTCTTCCTTCTTCGCCTCTTGGCTCCGCATCGATGTCGCGTCCTTAACAATTGCGCTCGCCATCCTTGGCACCTTCCCTTCCGCCTTTGACCGCCTCCGTTCCATCGCATCCCGCCTCGCATGGTGGATTGCCAAGCACTTTATGGCCGCCGTGTGCATCAGCGGGAATGACCTCCTGAACAAAGAAGTCATCAATTGGCTCAGTTACAACGTTCTACCTGCTCGCTCCGTACGGATGCTGTCTGCTCGTACCGAGGCCATCCCGGACCCTTACAACCATTGTCGGCAAGAGCAGGAAAGGAACGACATCCGGGACGAGAAGCGCGTCCCGGTGCGCTATCTTCCCACGTACGGCACTACTTGGTTCTTCTATGACTGGAATCTCTTCTTCGTGAAGCGGAACCCTCAGAACTACCACGGCCTGGCCGACGACGGAATCATCCCGGTCGAGTTCACGACCGCCCCAGAAGGTTCCGAACCGGTGACCGTCATGTGCCTGGGGCGGTCCGCCGAGCCAATTAAGAAATTCCTGCAAGCTTGTCGAGACTTTACAGACGAGCAGCGAAATGCATACACGAGTGTCCGGTCGTCCAAGAAGACCGACTACATTGCCGAGGATTGCTGGGGCTGTGTCGTCTTGCGTCCCATTCGGCGAATGGAAACCGTCCACTTCGACGAGAAAACCAAAACCAGGCTGGTGAGGGACGTCAAGCAATACCTCGATCCCAAGACTAGGAAATTTTACAACAGCAAAGGCATCCCGTACCGGAGAGGATACCTCCTTCACGGCCCTCCAGGAACCGGGAAGACGTCCCTTTCTCTTGCTCTGGCCGGTCTTTTCGGCCTGGACCTCTATCTTTGCCACGTTCCCAGCATCAAGAGCGACTCTGACCTGGAGAACCATTTTTCAACGCTGCCGCCTAAGTGCATTGTGCTCCTCGAGGATATCGACGCCGTGGGCATTAAACGACGGAGAGAGAACGATGAGGACTCGGACGACGACGATGATTCCGACATCGATGAAGACGAAAACTACCCGAAGAACCATTCATATCCCGGTTGCTCTCTCGGCGGGTTGCTGAACGTTCTAGACGGCGTGTCCTCCCAGGAGGGTCGCATCGTACTAATGACATCCAATTTTGCCCACCGACTTGACCGCGCCCTTGTTCGCCCCGGACGGATCGACAAGATGATCTTCCTCGGTAACATCTCGCGGCGGAGCGCCGAGTTGATGTTCGAGAGGATGTACCTAGCCGCGGAGGACGGTCTGCAAGGCGAGCTAGAAAATAAACTCTCCAGGGAGGAACTCAGGGAGCTCTCGGAGAAGTTCGGATCCAAGGTCCCGAACGAGGTCTTCACTCCAGCCCAACTGCAGGGATACTTGCTAAATTACAGGCAAGACCCTCACCTCGCGGTTGAGGAGATCGAGTCCTGGGTGGAGGAGGAGAGGAAGGCGATGGAAGATATGGAGGCGCTGAAGCGGGCGGAGGCGGAAAGGCGCAGGAGGAAGCGGGAGGCTAAGAGGACTCAGGTGAATATTGACTTGGCAGGTATATCGGATCCGCGGAGGCGAGTGGAGGACATGGTGCATGAGGTTCCGGTAATCTGCGATGATCAGTCCCAAGCGCTGACGGCGGAGGAATCAGCGAAAGAATCACCTGATAAAGTGGATGGCCCCGATTCTCCCACAAGTAGTGGGGATCCTGTCAACTCGGCGGACGGCTTCGTTCGTGTACGTGACTTTTAGGTAGAAAGGGGGAAACGGTGGCTCCAACGCCACGCTTTCAGAGCAATAGCTTGTGGTGGCTTGCTAGCCGTCCCTGACTCCTGCCTGGCTGTACTACTAGTTCCTCAATATGAATTTTCTCTCTATTTGAAGCACCGCAATGGGTTATCATGTATGTTTGCCTATGTGGCCCTTGTACTTCCAAGTAAAAGACGCTAGGTTCTACCGTAAGGTCGCCCGAATGGCGGGAGATCCTTCCGTACACTTCCTTTCAAGGCTAGGCCCAGGATGTTAAGATGCGAAGATGCTCTATTTGGAGAGTCTGATGAGGATGACTACGGCGAGGACCAAGCCGCCTTCAATAAACGCTCTCGTACAAATCCAGACGGGTGTCGTTTTGCGCGTCCATATCACCGGGCAAACGAAACACCCTACTGGGGTCAGTAATGGTAAAGGGTTTAAGAATGTTTACCGGCTAAAGTAAGTCTCAGGCGGACATTATGCAGCGGAATTGTGATATTGCGTTATTCCGATGTCGCCCGCGGAAGTGGGACAGTGTATGAGCCGGGTTCCAGAGGTGGCTGGCGAGAACGGAAAAGGGGCAGAGTTGGCCTCACTATCGCGTATGCACACATAGGAGATAACATCATGATTGTCCTCGCATGTACTGCCCTGCTACCACGGATCGCAGGGCAATACCCTAGTATCGCGTCTTTGGATCTCTATTATTGCGATGGAAAGCTAGATCTGCAATACACTAGGGATATCAGACGATGGGGTGCCAGGGCCGGCGTTTGCGTCTCTCCTAGCCGACGTTATTCTTGTGTAAAGAAAAAGTCTGATGACAGGCTAAACTTAGACGTGAAACGAAATAAGAAATAAAGCTTTACCCGATCCAACTCAACGTGTGAAAAATCCGACACCTCATCCTCTCTGAATCACAAATCGATTCAGTGTCTTATCCCCATTCGGCAATAGTTCAACCACATCTACAACACTTTCCCCTGGCAAATCATCACCTGTGACGGTGTTCGTTCCCCTCTCTGCTACCGTTCCAGTAATAAACCACGTAAACGAGTGGCCCGGCTGCGTAACCAACACCATGTCCCCTTCCTCGTCCACATTCGTCGTCACCTCCTCCCCGTTAACCTCCCCCCTCACCGGGAGCGGCATCACTGTGCTGTCGAACCCCGTGTGCCTGCTGTACGACGTCGACACAAGCGCCGCCTCCATGGGTGTATCGTTGCCCACTGGCATCCTCTGGATGATGTGGTCGCCGTTGGTTAGCGGTTGGACGCTCTCCGGCGCGGTAACCACCTCTCGCGCTATGAATTGACGCTCTGTGAAGAGACATCTGTCATCATTGCCACCTAGCCAAGAGAGAGTCACACAGCTGATTTCGACAGGCTCGCTCGATTCATTCTTAGCCGTAATTTTGAGGGTGCGTGTGGCCCCCTCGGCCCACGTCGTCTGCCCCAGAGTGTACTTGAGTTTTGAGGGCGGAGGGTCGAGCATGGGCACCAGTAGAGGCTTGGCCTGGTCCCTGATGAACAACTCCATGTCCGAGAGTGGTGGCTCCTCGGGTTCCTGTATCCCGTCGCCCATGAAGATTATACTAAGCGCTAGGCCCACGAGCGCTAAGACGAAACCAACTACCGGCACGAGCAGCAATGTAGAGGAAATACCTATGAACTCGACGACCGTTGCAAGCGCAGTGAATGTGATCTGCGCAATGGCAACGCGCCTACCCTTGTCTGTCAGGTTGCCGTCCTTGATCTGCTGGGTCAGGGAGAAACTGGTGGCAAACAAGGCACCCAGACTGGCGAGGAAGCTCAAGGCAACAAAGACTCGGACGGCCATGGTCGAGCTCTTCATAGCAGCATAGCGGGGGGTGGTGCCATCACTGTCGAGGGCAGCCATCCTCTCCTTCCACTTCTCCCCCCATATCTTATTTCGGGTTTCTTTGCTCATGTGTTTTCCCTTCATCCCTTCCTCCATTTGCATATGCTGTGCGTTTGCATTTTTGATTTCCACGTCGGTAAGGCCGGAAGCTTCTGGGTTGGCGGCGTTCTGGAGCCTGTTGTAATTGTTCATCCGGGTTTGAAACGCCTCAGCATCGTTCAAGCCAAGATCCTTCTTAATGGCCTTGTCGAGCTCTATGGAGGTAATGGAGTTGCCGATTGTGGCTGCTCTGTAGTCTCTCCAGATGCCAGAGAAGCCCGACAGCATCTGGAAGAATCCACGTGTGAACTCGGTCGCGCAGGCTGCCCTGTCGGCAAGGCTCATTACGGGCCAAGCGTCCTTCATCATCCTGACGGTGATGACGGAGAAGACGACAAACTAAGTTGTTGCAAACAAGGTGTTAGCTGTGTTCCAAGCAGTTGGAGATCGGCCGCCATCTCGAGAGGCTGAGAAGACAAGAACCATCGACTCACCAATCCTGCGCTTAACAACCCCCTGAGACCCGCCATGGTCTTTGGTCCCATACCCGTGGCCGAGCTGGTGATTTTATTCACCAGCCGATGGACAAGATCGCTTCTGCCTGTAGTAGCCGTTAGGAAATCGTTTAGGGTTCCTGTTGATTCTGCCATCAGAAGTGCCATCTGGTGGGCCATCTGGGCCTTTCTCTCTTCTATCGTGGTGTTATCGGAAATACCCCAGTGGTCCATGAGCGCCGCAAAATCCTCTTCAAACTGAGCGCGGAACTCGGCGTCCATAGCGTCACCGCCTTGGTACGTGAGCTCTAGGATGGCGCCGATGGCGTCGATTACCCAGTCCTCAAGCTTGTAGTTGAGGATGTCCTCTGGCACCTCGCCGGGGTGACTCTCATTCCTCGCCATAAAGTAGTTCATGCACCTGAGGTAAATTTCGGTGGCGTAGTCGACGTAGTCCTCATCCGCGGTACGTGCCGCGTTTTCGGGGGTGTTCGCATTGCTTTCTAAGCGAGGGTCGAGACAAAAGGCCAGCGTGCACCAGTTGCTAAGAATGTTTCTCTGGAACGCTGTCAGCGCGTGGCTCGCCCACTAGTTGGTTTGCGTATCAAAGAGACTCACATCCTGGTTGACGGGGTCAATAAGCGCCTGGCCAAGGTATCTCGAGGATGTCACCCTGTCAACCAATTTCTGGGCCCAGACTGGACCTTGTGCGTTGGCCAGATACTCCTCGCTGAAGTCGTCGCCCAGATGCTCCCGCGTGACGTGCAGGGATATGAGCTCATTGATCTCGTTGTACTCTACTGACTGCGAGAGACTTGTAGCGCCCTATTCATTCATACGCGTCCCCAGTCAGTACGTATTATTCTCGTTTTGAAGTTCGCGAAAATTCTCAATCAAACTCACAGATCCAGTCCAAAAATACCAAATCTTCTTCTTCTCGGCTTCTGTCAACTTGTGACGAAGCCCATGGCCGTCTTCCGTACCGTCGCCATCCTCGACGACCTTGCTCAGTCTCGAGAAACTATATGTCACGTAGGCCTTTCCGTATACTCCCCTAATCCACTCAATGTGATTGGAGTTCAGGCTGCCGTCGATGCCAGGAGTGAACTCAAGCGGATCGGGTTTCGCATCCGATGTGAACTTCTCTCTGTCCTCGTCGTCCATGTAGTACAGCATGAGCTTCTGGAACATTGCCTGGGTTTTATCATGGAGCTGTAGGTCCTCTGGTAAGACGCTGCTGCACTGGTCCGAATAATTCGATTCATTACATACCTGAGTTTGCGAAATGTCCCTCTCTAGCAACCGGTTGAGAGCATCCGTATCCGTAGCCGTTGCTCTTATCAATGCTCCGTCTGAGATGAGGGCAGGCTTCGTAGACATCTTTGAGTCGTCCAACTTCGCCGCCAGGTACGAGACTTTGGCCCTCTTCCGCTGCAACGCACTGCTTGTCCTCATCAAGTCTGCTGACGTTGACATTGAGAACCCGAAGGGGTCATACGTGGCTTCGAAAAGGTAGCTTCAGAACCCCATTAGCCAACTACTCACCCAAGTTTGCGAGCTTACCACGTACCGTTCTCCTAGACAGCCCGTCATTTCGGGGTCGTATTCCCAGACAGACCCCCGCAGCTCTTCGTAGTGGACGTCAAAATCCATTTCAGCTTCGGCAAACAAGAGGGGGATGGTAATGTCGCTGTCGAGGTTATTCCGGAACGTCAGGTTCTTCGTCGGATAGTCGAGCTGCTGCTCTCCCTCAGCTGCTGGGACAAACTGGTCAGAGAGCGCAGAGATGGCGGCAGCTGCCGTTATCTGGACCTTTCCGTGAGTCGTGTTGTCGGGGTTGCCGATAATCTGGGCATCGTAGAACGAAGGAAACCGCTGATATGGCTCGACCCTAGCGTTATACGCTTCTAGTAGACGGTCTAGCTCCGGGATAATGATCTCCGGGAGAATTAGGCCGTGCTCCGCATCTGTGTGATAGAGGCCAATACCCAAGGTGCCCCAACGCTTGGGCTCCACACAGCTCGTCCTGACTTCGACATCCTTAGGCCACGCGACCTCATCCACAAAGGTCTGGAAGAAGTCGCTCTCGTCCCAGATGGGATTCATAAAACCAGAACCCACCTGTGAGAGATCAATCTGCTTGTCAGGGTCAATAGGTATGTCATTTTCATTGCCATCACTGTCGCCTCCCGCTGGCGGATCGCTAGGAGTCAGAGGCCCACCGGGCTCAAACAGACCAGGGACACGATCAGGTACTGGGATCTTGCGAACGCCGTCCCCGGCTGCACCCAAACCTCTGGAAGGCAAAATGGCGTGGGTTCCCACTTTTATCTTTCGAGTGAGATCCGGCTTCGGTACGCTTGGATTTTGAGTTCGGCCTTGTGGTCCAGAGCATGTGAAAGGCACAATATAATCATTCCCGTCTCTCAGATCCTCGGGGTCTTCATCGTCTGAGACCAAAACGGCACCTCGCGCACCAAACCCATGGGTGTGAAAAGCCATCAAGCCGTGCTCGTAGCCAAAATTTTCAATCTCCCGAGACCATCGCAGGCGGCTCTTGGCCGAGTCAAACGAGACGCGAGTGGCCAGTTCGCCATCGAGAAAGAGATTGCCCTCAAAAATATCCACTTCGGGCAGCTCATATCCTTTAGGCTTCCTGGCTTGTATGAGTCTCGAGGTGTCGGCTTTGAGTACAAAACGGCGGCGCATCTCCTGGAAGCGAGGACCCTTGAGATGCCGCTTTGTTTTCACCTTGTCCTCCTTGGCAAGTTTGAGCTCATTCTGCAGTAGGGCATCAACGCCATTGACGCCGAGGCTCCAGAATAATGGCCGAAGCTCCTGTATATGGTATAGCGCTTGGGCTTGTTGCTTTCGTGAAAGTTTCCCTAGAGCGGCAGCAACACTCTTGATGGTGATTTCTGGGTAGTTGACGGCCACAAGGAAGCCATTAGCGAAGTAACTTCTATCACCTTCACGAAGGTGCACGCCGTGGAGCGTAGTAACCGAGGGGACTCTTTCAATCTCGATGGAATCGATGGGAACTAGTTCACAGCACGTGCGATCCTCGGATAGCTGGTATAGAATGTGTCCAACCTGAAGCCTGCCAACATCCAGCCACGGGTTCTCTCCTAGGGCAATGGTGGGGTCAACCGCACGTAGGCCCGTTGTGGTGTGGAATACGTGCCCTAGCGAAGCAAACACGCCAGTTCCGTCTATTGGTTCACCTCTTGTCAGCAGTGCTATCCGCCATGGCCGCATACACGCCTAGGATAGTACTCACTGAATCCAACAAGTAGAGGATCTGAAACCTCGATCCTGACGTCTTCATCTGAGCAAATGCCCGTACGCGAGTTTATATTTGTCAAAAGCAAGGTGCCTTCGACGATGGACTCGATAGCAATGTCGTCCGCCTTGGTAGCAATCTTGGTCCCCGGCCTGAAACAAGAAGCCCTGGGCACTTCGGTCGTCGTTACTTCCTTGACCTTGGGTGACTTGCCGGTAAAAAGACGTGGATGCGGGGATTGGACTATCAGAATTTAGCTCCCTGCACTCTCAAACAAGTAGAGACGGATAACAGAGAATATACCTTGTTCAATCCAGTCGGCAAGTGGGCGTCCAGTATATGTGGTGACTTCGAGCCACTAGTGAAATGCTGTTAGTTGTTCGCCGAATCTCGCAATGTTGTAATGAAAAAGGTACCCACCTCTTGCTCCCTCGAGCTCACGTGTGTGAGCGAAAAGCCCGTAAAGGCCTGGCCAGTCGAGAACCGACGAGAGCTCTGCTTCGAAACAGTGGCCAGACCGGCAGAGGCAGCGTGCCACTTGTCCTCCTTGGTGGCCCAATTCTGCTTACACTGAGTGACGATTGACTTGAAGTTATCATTGGCTCCGTCCACCAGGCTCTCGAAGCTAATGTCGTCGACACCTAGCACGCTGAGATTGATAACGGAAATTCCTTGCGACTGTGTCTGGTCCGCAGCTAGCTCTCTGGCAGATTCGCTGCTTCGCAAGTGGGAGACCGGAACCCTCTTCGGTCCAGAAATTTTGGACGTGACATTCTTCGCAGCTTTGACTGCGGCGGGCCGGAAAGTCTTCGACATGACGAGGTCGCGCATGTGGAATCCAGTGCTGCTCTGTAGCTTTCCGCTAATATCAACGGGAGCAACAACGATAGAGGCAACAGCAGCAGCAAAACCAAAGATTTCGGCTACCCCTTGCTTGCTCTGGAGTTTGGGCACTTCCAACAGCGCCTCAATCCACTTCTGAAGCACGGAATTGCTAGAAGACGTATCGAAGCCATGATCCAGGAATGGGGTGAAGCCCGGCCCTTGGTTCAAGTACTCGCATACAAAAAGGAGGGAAGTACTGCAGGCGTCGGTTCTGTTAGCCAAGTCTGTGGCGATGACTGACCCAATGAACCTCGGCCTTGAAATATAACTCTCATAGACAGCAGCAAAGCCGCTTGTCCCGTGGAGTTGTTCGAGACTAGGGAGCTTGTTCTTTTCCAGAGCCCAATTGACATGTTCGGCGTACAGAAGCGTCGTAAGCTTGGTCATGTCCTCGAATGTGTCGTCCTTGGCATTTTTCTAGGACTATAGTCAAAACCGGAATTGATTACTCGCTTTGAACGGGCGTATTTTCATACCTTGTCGACGCAGTCTTTGAACTTGGCCTTGTCTGAAGTCCTGTTGATTGTGGAGATCCCATTCACAACGGACTGCACACCAAGACGGTTGAGCAGAAAAGACTCATCCCGGCCGTTTAGCACAGTACCACGAAGTTCAGGACCAAAGGCCGGCTCCGGGTCCAACTCGGGCCTAATGCGGGAGGTATGAGGGGCGTTTCGAGTTGCGTTGAAGAGCCTGTCCATGAATTTCGTGACGGGGAATGCAGCGAGGCTTACGATGGCCTCGACGGTGTTTCTTACAAGATCTTCGATATCCATAATGATGCTTGCTGGTGGTAAATTGAGTAGACGAATAGTTGATCAATCAGGATTCTTCGGATATTTTGGAGGTTGCTAAAGACCAACCTGGTACTTTTCTGACAGCAGGAACTCGCAGCTTTTAAGTCCGGACAGCCCTGGCGATATACTCAATGAAGATGCCCGGGGTGATTCATGGCACGACGGCAACAAGTGACTACAATAATTCATTCCCCAGACTATCATAGCCGCAAGCATTATGGAACGGATGAAACCCCCCCCCCCCCCCCCCCCCCCCAAAGACCAGTAGAATGTCAGGTCGCGGATGTCATCATGGGCATCAGTGGAACTACCCAATCGTCGCATTAGCAAGTAACCGTCCGCTGACACATTTCTTCAGCCGGCCATCTTGGCATTACACCCTCATGAAGCCAAATCTGTAAGAATTAAGCTTAATGGAGGATGCTGCCAAAAGCTGAGGACGTGGCGTCCATTCAAGAGCTCTGGAACGGTGCCGAATAGTGCCGTTGACGCTTCAGCCCAGGCTTGGCAATGTAAACGACGTTACGAGCTCACTCTGGTGGGTGGCAATGCGTCTGAGGTAATACGATGGGCTCGAATATTCGGAGGAGCCGAATTAGGCCTGGGGATTGCAGTTGTTAAACACTCAGTATAACAGTTTTAATTCAAGCTAGCCAGGCATATATGCTCGAATCAAAGGTGCAGAGGGGATGCATGCCTTTGGATAAGTTGGTACCACCCTCTCAGCAACCCCCAAATCCACACCGCCATTTTCCTCTGTCCCAACTTCAAACTGCATTTTTTTTTCTCCACCATATTCCTCTCCTGCCAAACGCAAAGGACTATAACGAAAAATGCCTTCAGGGCGCATTTGATACCATTGCAAATGGGATGCCAATTGCTAGGGCCGCCAGAGAATAGGGTATTCCAAAACACGCTCCCTCAGAAATGTCAGGTTCATTCCTGTGAACCGGACGGCGGATGGCCTTTCCTCAGCTCCAGGATACATGCTTTAGTCTTTTTAACACATGCCCATCTGTCTTCCCATTCCTTCTGTGTCAAATTTTCTTTTACGCCTTCAATCGCCGGGATCACATTTGCTCTAGATCTTCTTCCAAAATGGTCGCCATCGCTTTCCTTCTCTGTCGACGGAGGTTGCTGCCGTATTGTCACCACCCTGTGTGACCACAATAAACGACCAGGCGGCGGTCAAGGATGGCATAACAGGAATAACTACGGACGACGTCACCAATCGCTGCCAAGATCGATCGAACACGACCGTCGGAAGAGCTTGGAAGGAAACGTCTATATAAACTACAGTCTCCACCATGTATCTAGTTTGTCGTCCGAGGGTTCGTAAGTGGCATCACAGTCCATGCTATCGCGCATTTGCCCCAGCATATACCGAAGTGATTCCGATCTTTTGAATCCCCTCCGGTGGGGATACAAGCAGCGATAGAAATGCTAATGCTTGAACCGTGAATCTGCTCTTGATAGAAAATGGGTGATTCATTGGGCCACAAGGCATCCTTTAAAGGACGGGGATCAGGCATCGCTCCCAGGGCAAGTAATCTGTGAATAGGCTTTTGAAATGAGTTAAGCTTCCTGAGACAAAGAGTAAGATAGCTCACAAGAGACATTTCTGATCCGGGTTCTGCTGGTGTCTGCGCAAAGTCGAATGCGAGTCCTCCTTCTGCAATAAAGATCACACTCTTCTTTTGCGTCCTCCTTCCGAGAGCTGCACAATATCTGTCACTTGTCGTCCATATGCCTCGAGCCATTCACCCACTGTGAGCATGCTTCACCACCCGCTCACAGCATGTCTCGCTGAGCTTCCAGGCCGTCCCCTGAGCCTACTGTTCACACATTTGTAAGGATCTCGGTCCGGACACCGTGCGCCCATTTCCTTTTCCGGTAGCTGCAGGCCCAAAGGTAGCGACGCAGCCGCAGGGCTTGTCTGATTGATGAGGTTATATATTAACCAGGGCGCATGCGGAATACATTACTCTCGGTTCCGTAGGGAACATTTCTGCACCCCAAAGATCCGTGGGTGATCACTAAACGGACCGGTGCTACTTTGCCGGGGGAGCAATTGGTGGAATGATCGATTATGATGGGATGACCTCCGAACACTCGCAGGGGCCATTGGTGCGTGTTCGACATCTTGTTGATCTGGTACATTCTCACAAATGATGAAACTTTTAAAACAGAGAAGAATACAAAGTTATTTTTCAGCACCAGGATCGGACACGGTAGGGCTTGCTGGAATCTCCCGTGGAACATGTCCCTTGTTCTGCTTTCTGACGCTACTCGCCTTCCGGTGCTGAGACTGCCCCGTACTTGTGCCCGTTGATCCGCCGTTCCCCGATTTATTGACGTGTCTAAATATGTTCCCTTTCTCGGATCATCTAGGCTAAATCCATCATTCCCTTTATCCTTCCTTTTTAGACTCATTATCTATTACACTATTCCTGGATTTCAACCATAATTTGGTTGTGATAGAGAGGTCGGTCCCATCCCGGTCCGCCGGCCCCGCGTTTGGAAACGGACTCGAACCCTGGAAATGCTTTCTACCCGTGTTTAGAACTGCTCTTGCAGATGCGGGGCAAAGGTGCCGCATGAATCAATAGATCTCGATTATATGTCCGTCGCATGGGTGATAGAACTTGGAAAGAATTAGCCCAACAGCATCAATGTTTCCTAAGTTTCGACCATGTGAGCCAACTTTCAGAGATACATCAGTTAGCACTAAAAATAAGGGTTGAACAGCGTTAGACATGGCCGAGCGAAGCTATGAATTTCTGGTGATAAAGTCTGGACTAGATAGGTGGAATGGTGGCAAGGTCTGTTTCTATTGTCTCCATTGAGGAAAAGGCAGACCTGGCTAGTTTACACCTCAGTACCTAGGTCTGGCTTCCTGACCCTGTTCGTCTAAGAAGAAACCTCTCCTGGCTACCGATCCTCTCCCCACCGCCCTGGTTGATAATACGATTGAAATCCTCGCTGTTGCCGTCGTAAACATTAGGCCCCCAGGTGGGTGGATGTGACGCTACTCGGCATCAAAATCTAGCTCTTAATTAGACAGGTAGTTGGCGTCTTAACGCTTCAGGAATCAGGCCATCGATTGCTGCATCCGGGCGGTTGTAACCAAAACTCCATCACCATGCTATATCAATGTATATAGACCGCGGAGACATCCGTCCAATCACATACTCATTTATTCACCGAGGCAAAAGGCCCCGGCTCGATAACCTAAAGATGAATTTACTAAGTAGATCAATTAATCTTCCCTTTAAATTGAAATTATCGGACCATCTCATGTAACCTTGTGCCGCAGGGAATCGACTATGATTCGAGCAGATTCTCTTATGCCTCAAGGAATCGGGGCATGATTTGAGGAGAATCTCCGCTGCGAAGAACTCGCTGAACCGAATGCAGCTTTCCATGAGATGAAAAGAAGAAAGGACTTTACGAAGGCGAGTTGCTAATGAAGACATTCCCTTCAATGTCTTCAGTCTATATAAGGGTGGGAAGATCTGTTCCTTGAGCCCACCCTCAAACCAGCCAACACTCCTTGAGATAATCACCATCCTCCGTCAAATACACTTCCAGTTCCAGAAAGCACCCTAGCCTTCGACTGCCCTTCAATTCCCCTTCGACACCTACGTCTCTTTCAACACAATGCGGTTTTACATCCCTCTCAGCTCCCTCGCCGTTCTTGCCTTGCGCGCAAGTGCCACTCCCGTGGATCCCCCGAGTGGATACTCTGCATCCTACAGCACCTTCAATAACCTCAACTGCGACACTCAAAGCTGGAGCATGCAGCTTATCCCCAAGGACGTAGTTGGGCTTTGTGAAGATCTCAGCCACCCGGCCATATCTGTGGATCTCAATAATCTAGCCGAGGGCTGCTCCGGTAGGTTGATTCTTATATTAGTGTCGGCTAGTCAGATCAGAGATGCTACATGCTTGAGAAACCCGAGTGCTGGCGCATAATGTTGGTGCCTTTGCTGACTTAGGTGCAGTGGTCTTCTACCCTGACTTCGACTGCAAGGGCCGACCCGAGTCCGTTAGCGAGATTGGGTGCTATAAAAGTGATGTCATTATTCAGTCCACCTCGGTAACTTGCGAGACTGTTGACGATGGAGAGGATGACAACTAGAGTTTTTGAGGGCTTCATAGGGCGGACTACGAGGCGGCTATCTACTTTACATTCTTCTAACCAACCATGATCCAACACCATGGGCTGGCTTTACTTGTTACATCTTCCATGTAAATATGGATGTGGATGGGGGTTCACTTTGATTAGATATACTAGTCGCTCTCTTCATCCGTGGCTAGGTCTGATATATCGAAGTTTCTTCCTTACCCTCTTAATGCGTATCGATCGAAGACATTGACCTCGACAGCAATCTGCGAGACAGAACAGTGTGGCCTGGCTAGACAGAAACAAAAAAAAAAAAAAAAAAAAAAAAAAAAAAAATAGAGAACAAGACTAGAAGTAAGGATAAAAAGCCAATTGTGTCGAATGCGAAACAAGAGCATAAATCATATGGTCAGATGGTTAAGTTAGTCCAGGCGGTCAACAGTCAGGGACCAAACCTTTACAGAAGGCTACCACAGACTCTTACCAGGTTCAAGGACATCAGCAACTGGTTGGTCAATGGGAACAAGAATAAATAACGTGAGGCCATTTTGAATAGAACAGAAACAGAAGAAGAAACGAGACACAATACACAGTTACAGAAGACTACCAAGCCTTAATTCAAAACAACCTTGTCAATTGAGGGAGCTCTCCAATGAAAGATGGGTGTCTAAGAAAAGCTTGCTTCTCAACCCTTTTTTAACCTTTTTTTTTTTAAAAAAAAAAAAAAAAAAAAGGTCAGAAGAAGATACCTTTATAATCGCCTTTCCGTGTCGATTTATGACGAACCTGTCGAGAGACAGCGAAGCCGATTAGCAAGTCTCCTGCATGCCGCTGCGCCCCTATGCTGGCCGACTCGGCTGTACCTGCCAGGCTGCCAGGTCACCAAGTCGAGCCCGGTGAGTTCCATGGTGCTAGCTCCGACAATTGGGGTTACACTAAAGAGAATTTCAAGCCAATTTATCATGTTAGAGCGGCGGGAGATGACTTGCCGTCATGAACGATTAGATGTCGCAATAAGGGGGGCAGGCTTCGATTGATGGATTCCGACATGAACCGAAGGTTCCCAGGCAGTGGTCCTTGGCGCTGTTGGTCGCCTTGTCCCCAATTCTACTGGGATCTTCTGTTTCATGGGCCGCAGGTGTAATCACAGTTACACTGCATTATGCTGGCCTTCCTGTTTTCCGTGGCTGGGGCCAGCAGGTGGGCGCCGCTCACGCATGAGCAGAACCAGTTCAGGTCGGTCTCCTTGGAAAATATGGTCAGCTGACTATTTATTTACCCCACTTTCACCCGAATACAATATCGTTCTGGTCCGTTCTCTCATTGAGATGTGGTTATTTCTCTTGTACACCCTGATAATTCGCCAAGAATCTTGGACTGATGGAAAAGCGCCGGCAAGACCTCCTTTCCCTCTGACTCTCGCCGTGGAAAAGAAAATATGAAGACTCGGCAGCCAACAGTCTGTGATGCCTGCAGGTCCCGGAAGCTAGGAGTAAGTGGTCGTAAAGAGTCGTAGCCTGGGCGGAACGTTCAAGACTAATACAGCTTAGTGCGATGGAAGACAGCCCGCATGCTCCCAGTGCCGGGTTAGAGGGTTGGAGTGTCCCGGGTATACTGCTGGTATCACCTTCCGGCCCCCTCTTGTTTCTACACCTCCAAAGGCACAGAACCGTGTACAACACAAGACGCCGACTCCCTATCAGAGCCCGCAGCATCAGCAGAAGCATCAGCATCGCCGACAAAATCCATCTAAATCATCGGAGTCCACTCTTCGAAAACGGGCTCCTCCTCGCGCTTTAAGTTGGCCTCTACGTGATGTCATCTCGTTCTGCGTTCAGAATTTTCTCCCGTCAAGTGAGATCTCTCTACTTTCCGAAGACTGGAGTCGATCGCAGTCCCGTATATGTGGTGGTGCTTGGATGGAAGTGCTTCCAGGGTTGGTGAGCAGGGATGATGCTATAAATCCTCTTCCTTCCGCCATTCGCGCCCTTGCCGTTTCGATGGCGGCGGCGGCGAACAAGGGCTGGGCGCCGATTCCTGACGCCCTAGAAGCACAAGGTTCTGCTCTTAACGCCCTTCGATCCGCCATTCCCCGAAGTACAGCTTCGCCTTCCAATGAACTGGCCGTCTCTACTATGTGCATGTTTTTTTCAGAGGTTAGCCGTAATCCATTCCAAATCCAGCCCTAAGTTTTCTTACTACGCAAGGCTCTGGCAGCCAACTTTATTCGCATTTTAACTTTTAGTAGATGCTACTGTCAGCCTCTAGTACAAGTGCTGTAGTCCACGCAAGAGGCGTTAGCGATATGATCCAGCTAAAGCCGCCTACTTTCTATTCAGTTGGAGTGCCGCATAAGCTCTTTATTGGATTTCGTCCGGTTCTTGTACGCTCCATGCGACCCTACCCTCCTGTTATTGTATTTTTTTTTTCTCTTCCTAACTCTTTTAGTAGCTTCATCAGGCTTTAGCATCACGCACGTCCACGTTCCTCGCAGATGAAGACTGGAAAACCGAACCATTCCGTACTATCCCTATAACCCCTCTCCAGGCCCTTATGAGTGTGAGCAGCGAGATCCCATATATTTTTGAAAAGCTGGATAAGTCGACACATACTCAAGAAAACATCGAATCGGCAAGTCTGGAAACAATATCTAGGCTCATTGCAGTACTAGATCATCTTCAGAGTTGGCAGAAATTAATATCGAAGGCTTACAAAGGGCCCCTATGGCGGCGCGTTATGAGAACCGATGGCGAGGTCGTCCTCCGGTTCCAAGACTTTACAATAGCCAACGGGACTACCTGGTTCTGGGCTCTCTGGATCATATGTGTCGTAAACCTCCGGCAGTTGAGACGAGATTACCCCGGTTTACGCGGACAGGAGTTGATGATAGATGGGAAATCCCTAGAGAGCATCGAGGTTTCGCGGAGCCTGATCCGGTTCTCTGATCAGATTCTGCGAAGCGCAGAGTTCCTGACTCAGGAGAAGATGGGGATATGTGGGGCTGCGTCGACTGCCTTTCCTCTACAGACTGCCATTGAGGTACTGAGCAACGCCAGAGGCGATACGGAATCAAGTTCCATAATGCCGTGGGAGACTATCAGAAGGATAGCGGGGAAGACATGTAGTGGATTTTTACCGTGACTTTCATGACAATGTGAGGATGACTCTTTTTCCCTGAACTCAGTGAACTCCATTCCTTATCATAGAAGACGCTTGGGGCCCCGACGTGTATTCCAGTACAATGTAAACAAATAGAGTTTGAGAATGAAAGCCTATTGAGATTTCGTCAACTGACTTAGAAGTGGGCTTTCTTTGTCTCACGGCTGAATAGCTCTAGCAGGATTTCCCACTTGTCGTCACGCCGGAGCTAAGCTAATAGCAGCAACCCTTTTCGGCAACCTCGGTAGACAGGGTCGACGATTGTGGCGGCCGAAACAATGGTCACCGTTCGATGCAGTACTGATATCATTTAATGTTTATTTACCGACATTGAATTCTCCTAATATATACAGACGAGGTCCCGTGGTGTCGATTCGGCCCTCGAAGTCTCAGAAAACCCTTCAGCGTAGAGTTGAAGAGTCCTCATTCACGGTTAATCTCCCAAAATCCCCCTCAATGTACACCCCAGAGCACTCAAACCCGTATGCGGGAACAATGGAGCGAGTGTACTATCAGCTGGTAGCAGCTAATTATATTTGTGTAGCCAGGAAAGAACGGTCAGGCATTCTCGTTGGGGCCGAAATTCTTCGTACTCGCTCAGGAACTCGTATCGAGAGAGTGTCCATCTGATGGACGGCAGATCTGTATGGTAAATTCTGTCTCCTCGGTTGAATATGGCCGGTTGGTAATCCACAACTTGTCAATCCCGCCCCGTCGTCAGAATAACTCATTCTTATTAGACCAGCATCGATCAGCCTCTGTCGTTGATCGACAGCACCCCTGATAGCGTACCGTCTGGTGGGCGCCCCATATGTGGGAGCAACTGGTGCCCTCGGTGAGCCGGCGCGCGTCGACGCTTTGCTGGATCGCAGGTATAAGTAGAGCCCACTCATCACTAGGCCCATGGTGTTCGCAGCGACAGAAGCGAGGATATTCAAGCTAAACGCCTGGTGTCTTATTCTGTGTTGATCCGTGAAGGCGAGTGTGAAGAAAAAAGGCATCGCGAGTGTCTGCATTTCCGTTAATGACCGAATCTATGCCAGATGAAACGAGTGGGCTCTTACGTTTGACAGGATTCCAGCGGCAACGTAGCACATCATCCTCGACGCAGCTGCCCTTTCGCGTGTATTGGTCGTGTTACTTTCTTTCAGTCGCACGAAGATATTTACCACGCATATCAATTGCGTAACTGAGATCAGCAGCAGGACCCCAAAGCTACCCGCTGCGTACTTCTCTAATTTCCAAGAGAGGAATCTGAGGCAATAGTCTGGTGCTCGGGAGAAGTACTCAACCAGGAAGTTCGTTAATAGCAACGTCCCAATGATGAGGAGACATATGACGACGGTCGGTTTTGATCTTGGCAGGAAAGGATTGCTTCGTAAGGCCCGAATAGTAATCTCAAGTACGAAAACCAACTCAATATACGGCACGATAAATGCTCCTGTGTATAAACAGTTTAGCTCCGTAAGTTCCAGTGGAGGATAGCAGGCGAGCAGTCATAACTTACCAGCCAGCATGAATTGAAAGTCCAAAGTGCAATCACGCCCCACCAACCGCTCAAGTCCCCTGGCCTCCATAATGACATATCCGACTCCTTGAATCGCGATACCGATGAATAAAACGAGAGGGAAGACTTCCGTATCCGGAATAAGGGGGCTATCTCTTCCACTTTCATATAAATGTTACCAATAAGCTCCTTTTTGGTCCCTCGTCTAGTTCTGTTCTGAGAAAATGAGAGACTTACCGAGATTCGTGCCTTCTTTGATCCCACCGCAGGACGAAGGAGGTGTATAGAATCCTATACGTCACCGTGACGGCGGCAATCGAGTTGAAGGAAGCTAGGATGATGATGATGACCGTGCTAATCTGCTTTGCGGCGGCGAATCCCGGCTCGTTGGCTAACTGGAAGAGGGCTGCTGCGCTGGCCGGTAGTATGAGAGGCTGGGGGGACGCTGAGAGGTCTCCAACGCCATCCATGCTGGGCCTGGTGTTCTGCAAGAGAGATATCGTTGGGGCTTGGTTTGTATTGGAAATATTGATGAGAAACAACGACCAGGCGCCCCTAGTTTAATATGTCGTGGGCTTACTCGGCATGCGTTGACGATGCCGAGCTTTTGATGATGCGGTGTGCCAAGAAGGGTTAAAAAGTAGATAGGCAGTACATGCAGACACCCGTCTTGGCGAGGCGGCAGCAGCAGTTGCCAATAAAGGGAAATGGGGAGCGGCTAATTGTTAAATGTTCAGGATTGGGAATCGGGATAGCACCAAAGGGGATAGAATCCTCCTCTCTCCAATAGAAATGTTTGCTGTCAAGCTTGCACCTTTTCACGGATAAAGGTAGAGCGCCGGAACGTTGCAGGGCCGTAATTTCCTGCGTGCTTGTAGCTCCGATGAGCTGCCGGAGCTGGAGACTCTCGAGGAGACTCTCATTGGATGCAAGACTACTGATCTACGGAGAAAACCTGGATAAGGCACTGGATGGTCCTGCCGCGATCGGCTCGGGACCGACGAGGCCCTCGGATCCAGGACAACCGTGATCATCCTGAAGTTAGCGATGCGGCGCACCGTAAACCCTTGGAGGTGATCAAAGTCTCTAGATTTCCGGATAGGGAAAACCCTCCATATCTGGCCTAATACATGTGACGCGAAGGCCGCCGGTACATATTTCGATAAGGCTGCTAGTTTGCGAATAAAACTTTGGTTCCCACCGCTTTCACAAAACGGCGCGCTGATCCCGGCGACGATGGGCGTCGCAGAGGGAGGACCATTTTGTCGTATGCAGTTGAGTCGTCTAAAGGCGTATTCAACCTCAAATTACCTCGGTAGACCGGAATATGAAGTCACCCCCGTATCATCGACGGAACCTTATGCGGTTTCTGCATGCAACCATTTTGAACATTACAGCCGGATTGGCCACACGTATAGGCGGAAAAGCTGCTCAAGTCTGATAGGGAAAACAGTAAGCCGTATCACGGGTTCTGACTCTTTTCGGGTAAATGGCATGCTTTGAGTAGTTAGTTAGGAAGAGGCTGAAAACCCGAGCTGTCTACATTCGTACGTCTACTATTGGTCCTATGTGGGTGTTGTGCCTCCTGGGTGGCTACTACTGCGAACCTTTCCTCTCTGGATCTAGTAATCAATCCTGGAACAAGATTGCCTTGTGGATGTATTGACACCTGAGGGACTCCGTAGAATACCGAATTCGTCTTTAGATATCTTATTTTGGATCCGCCGGGGTTGTTGTCGGCCGGGATCGCCCTTCCCATGGGGTGATTCAAATCGTCCGACCACTCAGTCTCGAAGAAAATGTCTGTGACACCGGAAAATTAGCACGCGGCCTAAGAACTGCCCATATCCAGGTCTTTTCGGATTGTAGAATGCGGGCTAGAAAATCTGGGGCGCATTTTATCCAATACTTCCTGTTTTCTACTATCCAGGATTCATGTTCCGCAGCGGTGTCGGATACGGGGTATGCGACCAGGGGCACACGAAACCCTGCCGGCTTCTGCTACTGAACTTCATACAAGCTCGCGATGTAACGTCAATTCTATTCAATCACTTATTACTAGAATTCGTCGGGGCCGGCCACGTTTTGGTATTGTATATGTGGTGGCTCATCTTCTCGTTCCTTTGGCTGTGTCTCATTCACATTTGAAGCACCGGTACGAGGAGCGGCTTCTGCAAGTTCGGAAAATGTGTGATCTACACCCGTGGAAGAGAATAGAATTCATGCCGAGTCGACGTCGCGCTGGTTGGGATGGTTAGCCTGAACGTGCTGAGCAAGGATTGAGTCACCCGGTTTGCGATGAATGGTCGTAACTTGAGGAGAGGAAGATCTTACTCCAGGGGCTAAGGTGGCAGCTAAACTCCGGGCGTGATGGTCAGACCGCGCCCATCCCAACTATTCGCAGTGGCTGAGCACCCATACGGACAAAAATATCAAGTTGCCAGCGCCGTTTAAATTGACCCATATCCTAACCTGGAGCTTGGAATCTAGCCAGTCCTTGTTCCGCTATACCTGGTTTTTATAACACTTCAATTATCACTGAGTTCGCCAGCTTAACTCGATCCAGCTTGTCTAGTATAAACAGGTCTGCAAGACAGACTATCGCCTGCCGCAGATGTCCTCTCCAGGATCAACTGATGACTACGGACCGGTACTCAACGGCACGATCTGGCTGCTCACGGCTCTAGCCGCATGTTTCCTTATTCTACGAGCATATCTTAAGCTGCGAAGCCGTCGGGCCCTATGGTGGGATGACTACGTCCTGATTATCAGCTTGGTAAGAACTCGAAAGCCAGACCCATCTCTAAACTAGCCCCGTCTTCCAAGCTGAGTATTGATATGTATAGATCACTCTGGTGGCGTCGAGCGCGCTACAGTCCGTGTGTGTCAGCCTGGGATTCGGTAAGCATAACGCCGACATACCAGCAGCCGAGTTCCAGAGCATCCTCCTCCTCGGCAACGCGGCCGGGTTCGCGTCCATTCTGGCAGCCATGTGGAGCAAGACATCATTTGCTATGACGCTGCTAGGTGTATCGAAGGGCTGGGCAAAGTGCTTTATCTGGTTCATCATCATTAGCGTACACATCGTCCTTGGCGCCAACGCTACAATCCAGTGGATCCAATGTTGGCCAATTGAAAAGTATTGGGAGCAAACAATACCGGGCAAATGTTGGCCTAGGTTGGTTCTTATTGAGTATAATATCTTTGCAGCTGGTTAGTTGCCTGCCTGAATGAACGAGCAATCTGTTTTCCTCCCCCCCCCCCCAAAAAAAAAGAAAAAAAAAATTAAATAAAAAGGTTCTGCTGACGGCTATTCACCAGGGTATTCGGGCACGATGGACATCGTTCTCTCGCTGCTTCCGTGGCGGCTTTTGCGGAATGTTGCCATCAACAAGAAGGAAAAAATCCGCGCAATCTTCGCCTTGAGTTTGGGTATCTTGTGAGTTCGAGACGGATTCCACGATGAGCTCTATATTGTAAATGAAAGCACCTAATATTTAAATGTAATTACAATAGTGCCGGCATCACATCTTATCTGAAGATAATTACTATCCCGGCTATCGGTAGTAACGACATTAGTGAGTCTAGAGAAGGGACCCTTCATTGTCGCTGGTCGATGATATTGACATAACTGCCCACATAGTCGATGCTGTCGGTTTATTAATATTCGGCACGGCGGAGAGCGCCATCACCATCATGGCCGTATCGATACCTGTCGTCAGGACAGTTCTTCTCGAGTGTCAGGATTCGCGTCGACAGCTTATCCAGGGTATAGAAGGCAAGCTTGATGATTCAACGGATAGCTTCTCAGGCGTGGAAGAGGGTAAAAAACCGGAAGCTGCGATCGATGCGAGACTCTCCAGATAGTGGCATAGTAGCCATGAAATCGGGGCAGGAGGTACCATCGGTATTGGGAAGGAAATTAGCTGTACGAAGTACACTAGGTGAATAAAGCAAAGTAGCACGAAGCCAGGCAGGAACCGATATCGCAGGAAAACCCAACCAGCGTGATACCCAAGTGTCGATTGGCCGTAAAACTCATACTAGCCCACCCGTCCTCCATAGTCTTTTGCTCGTGAACGGTATTCAAGCTCGGCGTCGGGAGGCTGGTGGGAATCGCTCAGCGGATCCAGGAGAATGAGGTTGAGGTTGGGACCGGGGATGCGACGGCGATCATCGGACACGGACGCGCCTCGTCTCACCCGACCGGGCACGATACTAAGCCGTATTAGGAAATATAATTCGCCAAGACATCCGTATTTGGAAGTATAATTCGCCAAGATTTACGAAAGGCGGCCCGCTCAGATCTGGAGCGAATCATCAAAGCGAATTCTGCGGAACTTTGCCGATCATCAGGAAATAAAGGATGGTTCGCTAAGACTTATGCAGGTGCCGCGAAACAAGCATGTCGTGGTTTCCGAGATCCGACTCCACGTCGTCACGAAAGGGGTCTAGTAGATTAAACTACGTAGAATGAGAAACCACATTGAGGGATCTCCGAGAACCGTGTGATGCAGTGAATATGGAGGTCGGATTGCCCTTAACCCGGAGGCGGGGTAGCGTAGGGGCTTCGGTTTCAGCGCCGCAGCCTGCCGTTCCGGGTGTGGCCTCTTCACCATCCGCCATTCCGCACAGTCGCTCCCCATCTTCTACGAGTACGTTATGCCACCCATAGTATCGGGAAGCGAGCCTGTAATATATAGCAATTTCTCTTGTGATTTCTAGTAGTGCGCTTACTAGGCTCGGGCGAAAACGGCTTCGGACGTACTCAGTGATACGTTCTGCGAGGAATCAAGGGTGGGCAGCAAATACTCTTGCTGTGAGGTTACTAGCAGTAGTGGCATCGCCCTTGTTGTCCGTCACTTTTCTGAATTCTACAATTAATAACCTATCGGATGAATACACCAGCAGGACAAATGCCTTTTATTCCATTTGTCGTGTATCAGGTATAGACATCATCTCCTTGCACTCAATCTCGAATAGACTTGGGGAATAGTGCTCGATTGGGACGAGTATACAACTTTGGATGAGAGTAGAAAAGAATTACTACTACAAATATCAGATCCAAGACGTGATTTGATCATGTAGGGAGGAGTACGTTTGCTCTCTAACCAAGAGTCTACCTTGAAAGTCCACTCCATCATGCGATCGGCGTTATATCTTCTCGTCGCTGCCATCCTCCGGGCGGTTAGGATTCTCGCCGTCCCAATCCCGGCAACGCTACCGGAAGATCAAGGGGCAGTAGCAACGAGCGCCGCAATCGCGCCGCCGGCGGAGTTTACCCCGAACCCTAACGTTGGCCCAGGATCCCGTGGCAGCTTTAAGGACTCGGCTCATTTCCGCCTCTACAACTCTCCCAATGAGGCCGGCACCGCTATGGCTCTTTCCGTCCTCGAGGCTGTCTACGGCTGCTTTGTAGAGGACCTGGGGTGGCGCTCACCCGGTCTATCTTTCAGCGCGGGAGTCGGCGACGACGGTCCATGGTATAAGCAGAACATCTTCGCGGCTGCCAATCTTGGTTCGGCGGGCGTCACGGTCCCTGATTTCCGCACCGGCCTGAGCTATATCCAAATCTCGACCGATTACCTGCGAGGAGACGAAGCTATGCCGGCAGCTGTCTTCTCCCACGAGTACGGCCATAGCTTGACAATGGCTGAGAGGAACTGGAATTTGTAGGGTTCTCTCCTCGACACATGGTTCGAGACACTCGGCAATTGGTTCCAGGACTTGTACAAGACTAGCGATCTGTGCGAGCCGTCAAGAGGGAGACACGGCCGAAAGAGGACGGAAACTGAGATTAACCTACGTAAGAACATCGGTGACTCATACCAGACCATCGTCGATGCGGTCGGCAACAATGCCAACTTCTACCAGGCTTGGCCGTTCCTCACGTACATGACCTACAACCTCGACAATATGGCCGGACTCGGCACCAACACCATCCGGGAGATGGTGCGCCAGTACAAGCAGGGAGAAACTCCTCTTCACACGCTTTCGCGCATAGCCACCAACAACACGGTTAGTGAGATCGTCGGCCGCTACTGGGCCCGCATGTCTTATGTCGATATTGGCCACCCTACGGCGCAGCCACTCTTCCTCGGAATGCGGAGCTTCCTGAACTTTGCGAACTACGACTCCGCCGGCACCAACACCTGGAGAGTCAAGAGTGCCCGAGCGCCACGATACATGGGCTCCAATATCACCCCCCTGAAGAAGACGGGTGCCGTCACTGTCGATATCTCTATCGACGCCGGCCAGGCCATCTTTCGCGCTACGCTCGCCGTTCGCAACACTAACTCCGGTGCGATTCGCTACGTCACCCTAGTCGACGGGAAGGGATCTGCTTCGATCGAAACCAACGAGGAGGCAACATTAGTAGTTGCCAACGCACCCACTACTCTAATTGTCTACGACCCCGCTAACCTGCAGGGCAGTCCGGCCAACATAGGCATGCCATACACGGTGACCATGACTGGTGCCACTTTCTAGACGTTGGGTGATTGGAGATGTCAGCCTGCCCCTTTTTAGGGAGCAAAACGATGATATATGTGGAGTCGTTGGTTGGTCTGCTGAATAATGAGCCATGGAGGGTAGTGAGATGGTGGAGGATGACATCTCAGTCCTGTCACGGCAGAATAAGCGACGGGGCGATCGCTCGCAGAACGTTCGCCGGATCGATGAGGAAGCTATCGAGCAACTGAAGATGGATGGAAGAAGTGTCTATATAAGCTATGGAGTCCGCCCTGTATCTAGTATGTTCTTACAGACTCTTCAGTAGTCAATTCGAGTACAACCAGACCCCTACGCTTGAATACGCACTTCTCACCGATATCTTGTGATCACTGATTGACTGCCTCACTTATCCCTTAACAGGCAACCACCTCGACCCCGTCACCAGTTGTATCCACCCAATACCGTCGACGGGCTAGTGTTAGGATCGTAACACGGAGCGCCCTCAACACTAGATACTGACATACTATTACCGCCTCAATAGTAGAAATTGGGTTGGCCAAATAACCGAGAGCTTGACCGCTCGGCCACAACGTGTGTCCGCAGCTCATATTCCTGCAGGATCTGAGATGGCCATCCTTTAGAACGCGTCGGTCATCAGTCGACTGGTCTCAGCGAGATTGCCCGTACCTTTCGAATAAAATTCTGATTACCGTACAATAGATCCCACGCGAAGAAGGATTACTCCTGAGTGCAGCACTGGCAGCGGTGCCATATCAGTCAGGGCTTCAAAACGGCGGTGTGTGGTGAATGAAGATCGCACAAGTGGTAGTAATACACAATCGCAGAATTGTTTCCTCGACTCGATTTTCCCAAAGTCTCAATGGGCAAGCTCGGTCCAGCTCCGTCGTGTAATAGTTTACTTCGTAAGCCGTCGAGGCGCAGCTGTCTCGGCGAGAGGGGGAAAATCCCACGATTGGATCTTGACTTGGCCGTTGTTCCTCAGCCCCTTTCCGCTCCCTACTCACACTCCCGATCTACGACCAACCCCCTTCTATCCGTAGCCCCTCTGCTGCCACCGTTCATATCCGCAAACTTAGGAGAAACCCACTTCCAGCCTATGTTAAACAACCTCGCGGGAGATCATCAAGGTTATAGGCAATATTTTCCTATACTGGGCTAATCCCCTTTCTAGAAGATACCATCTGGGACTACTATAGCTCATTCAATCCCCATAGATCAGCCATGTCGAACTCCGGTCTAGCTCACTCTAGAGTCTACCCCTCTAGGCTTTTTGATGACTGTATGTTGCGAGTGGCTTGTTTCTACGCCTTCGGCCATCATATACCTCCCGTGCAATAGTTCGCGGATCTTCATCCTTCAACCCTACAAGTATTACTCCGCGGAGAATGTAAATCGACCGGTCTTTCCGTCTAGCACCTGTGCATGCAGGAGGGCTACGGTATTGGTATTGGGGGGGGGGGTTATCCTATTGAACTGCGGCTTCATTGGAAGAACTTTGGGAATTAAGGCGACTTGGAAAGAGGGGCATGCCGCGGAATTCGGGGGAATTCTTAGACTTCTGGAATACCATGCATTCTCAATTGCTCAGTATCCCACCGATGACACTATTTCTGTGGCCCAATTGGCTGATAATCAAGGACATCACTCGCCCACCCCCTGCCAGGCTGGCGGATGGGCGTGGCACCACCTCTTTTTCAGGCCTTGCCATGTCATTTTACTGGTCGTGTTCGCATCCAGTGCAAAAACTCATGCAGCGCGAAATCTAAAGATGCAGTACGTGTAAAGCTGTGCATAGGTGTGCGGGGCCAGGCTGTGTAAAACCGCGAAGTGTGCGCAGCGTAGTGCACTTCTGTTAGATTGCGGTCGTGTGAAAATAACATTTATATCTTAGGGTCTCCTTGCCCAGATTGTGCTCGTAGTCGGCTCTCCTGATGCAAGCCCCTCTTTCTGCTGTTTTGTATGTCCCTCATTCCCATCACACAAGCTCGCTCTTCGTAAAGCTGAAAGATGGCCGCCCCCCAGGGTTCAATCTCTTAGCTGAGGATGCTTCGTCGACTGACCCAGGGGCAGACATCATTGCCGTCCACGGACTTGGGGGCAATGATTGCTGGAAAGCACGCACTGCTGACCCCTCTAACGAAAGCGGAAGCAAGTCCGAATATTGGCTACGCGACTGGCTGCCGACAGACGTCCCTTCGGTGAGAATTTTCACATACACTTACGACTCGTCCTTGTTCCTCGACGGCTCGGGCATTACTGAGGCCGCGGACACCCTGCTGAAAGGGCTTCAAAAACTGAGGCTGACGGCGGACAGTGTTAAGGTAGGTCTCCCCTTCTATCTCCCCTTCGATAACGGGCTTAGGCACGGGCATCTTCGTGGCTCCAAGTCCTCTGGCGCTCCAACGATCGTTTGGGAAACGAGGTTGTGCATCTACTAACTGCCGAACGCGTTCTAGAAATCACGACGGCTATTATTTATTTGCCACAGCCTTGGTGGGTTGGTTGTCAAATGCGCTCTCAGCAGAGCATTCCAAGACAGAGGCGAGGAGCTGCTCGGCGACATCGTCACCGCAACACAGGGGGTCATCTTCCTAGGGACGCCCCATTCGAACTCAAAATTCGAATTACACACCAGTATTTCTAGGATTGCCCTCGGTATTAACGAGCCGAACAACGTCACCATGGTTGCTATTCAATTAATGCAACAGATTGTCGCTCAGTTCATACTGTTACCTTTCCATAGTCTACCCTGGAAGATCGTGTCTTTCTATGAAGAGTTGCCTTTACCGGGCTACGACTTCAGGGTGAGTCCATCTGCCCAGGGTTCTTTGGTCAGCGAGCGAACACAAACGACTCACGCTTCCCATCTTGATCAGGCTGTTGACAGCAACCAGGAGGAATTGTGGAACTTCCCGCAGGTTTCGTTACACAGCCATCATCATGTAAGGACTTCGGCCGTTTAGTATTTCGTCTCTATCTGACACAGTAACCCTTTTTCAGGATTTGTGCCGTTTCACCTCACGCGATGACCTTTCTTACGTCAAACTTCTCGAGTCGTTGCGAAATATCACTCTCGCACCCAGCGTTACAGACAAGCTCACGGTGCATCCGACTCTTTCAGCAGCGGAGCACGGTAGGCCCCTCCTGCCCCGAAACGCGACAAGACCATTAGCTCATTATTGCTTTAGAGGTGCTCAAAAGTCTCGAATTTGAAGATGCATTCCCCAACACCCGAGATGCCGCTCAGGGCACATGTGATTGGATCCTCGAACACGAGGTCTACAGGTCCTGGAAAGAGCAGAGTTCTGGGTTGCTGTGGCTCCACGGCGGGCCAGGAACCGGCAAAAGTACCTTGATGAAGCACATTATCAAGCATGACTTGCCGGGAGGCACCACGAGCTCTACATTGGGAGCTTATTTCTTCTTCTCTCACAGCACCGCAAATGGCTCCGTGACGAACCTTCTGAGGTCCTTCTTGTATCAAATCCTAAAGTCGACTCCGTCCTCCCTAACCTTCGAAATATTTGCCGCATTTGCCGAGAGGAGGGAGCTCCTCGGCTCGGACTGGCCATGAGATGATGATGAGCTAACGGAGAGCTTCCTACACATGATCGATAAATCAACAGCCCTGGGCGATTATTCCTTCTGTTTCGTGATTGACGCCTTGGACGAATGTGATGATCCAGACAGGGTTATTTCTTTAATCCAGCGCCTCAGCATTACCTCCAATGCTCGCCGGCGCATTCGGACGTTCCTTTCTTCCCGGCATCGCCCCCACTTAAGCTCGGCGTCAGAAATACGCATGGAGGACAACAATTCCTTCGATATACTGAGATATATTGATAACAAATTCATGGTCTGGCAAAGCCTCTGTCCCTCAGCCTTTTCCTCTCAACAGCCGACCCAAACCATTATGGAAAAGGCTGAAGGGTCGTTTCTTTGGGCGAACTTAGCGGTGTCAATTCTGCTTCGCGAATCCACCCTAGAGCCCTTTGAGATAGCACATCGCTTGGCGCTGCTGCCGACGGACCTTGATGCGGTATATGAGACTATTCTGAGACGGATTCGGGACTCACGCGACGATCGGCTGAGGAAGGCCGCCCGCGATGCTCTCACCTTGGTGTTGTGCGCCCAGCGGCCGCTTTCGATCCTCGAGCTACGGGAGGCGCTGGTGGTGACCAGAAAATTAGAAATCACGCAGAAGACACAGAAGGGAGACATTCCACGGGATATCGCTGCCCAGCTCCCTGTCTTATGTGGTGGTCTCATCGAGGTCTTGCCGGAAACCCCGACGCTGGAAAACAGCGTGAGCGGTATCCTTGGACAGACGGTAACACTCATCCACATAACTGCCAAAGAGTTCCTCATGAGGGAAGCGTCGTCCGCCTTGGTGATACACTGGGACGAAGGTGGAAAAGCCGATTTGCACTTCCATGCTGCTTTGATATGCCTTAGCTTTGTTAATGCAACATTTGAGCATGAAAGCTATGCATTCCCGCACCTTCCCACTGCCAGCAAGGCAATTGCTTCATCTCACTTCTTGGAGTACGCCGTGCTATACGGTATGCAGCACCTTCGTCAGGCTAGCCGAATGGGCGTGAGGCCCAGGGCAGACAAGACCTAGCAGTCGTCTCTATTCCAAGACGGGTTTATCGATCGATGGGCCTATCTTCATAATCAACTCTTTGCAGACTGGAACCTGTTCAAACCGCGGAAGACCAAGGCAACACATGTTATGTCCTATTTTGGCTTACCATGGCTTGGTACAGGCCTCTGGGGTGAGAACCTTGAAAATATCAACGAAGAGGATCATTGCGGCCAGACCCCCTTGTCTTTTGCGGCAGCAATGGGACATATCGATCTCTGCAAAGCCTTGGTTAAGCTCGGCGCAGATGTGAATCATCGCGATCAGATATATGGCCAAACACCATTGAATTGGGCTGCATTTCATGGACATGACAATGTCGTCGAATTTCTACTTCAAGCCGGCTCTGACTGCAAAAATCGCAAAAGCGGTGTTTCTGCCTTGTGGATAGCCGCTCGCGGTGCCCATCGGAAAGTCGTCCAGCTTCTCTTAAAAGCGGCTGCGAAGGCCCAGACTTCCGACGAGCGCACTGGCGAGAGCGCTTTATCTCAAGCCGCCGCACTCGGTCATATTCCCATTGTCTCCTTGCTTCTTAAATCGGGCGCCGACATAGAAAACCGGGACAAACACGGATGGACGCCAATCCATCATTGCGTCAGCCGGGGCCGACGCAAGACCCTGGAATTGCTCCTCGGGACCGCCAGGCAAGACCAACTCCAGGCTTTGCGGGTCGGTCCTGTTAAGACTCAGCCTTCTTGGGTTGACACGGTTCTCAGAGCCATTCTTCTCAGTCTATGTTTCCGCAAGTGCAACCAGTCTGAAACACCTTCGACCGGCAATACTACCAGGGATGCCAAGACATGGAGCGGGCCGGGCCAGAATCGAAACTCTATGATTTCGAACCGCAAACGAGGGAGACACAAACTGGATCAAGAGTCTGATGAAGATGACTACGGAGAGGACCAAGCCGCCTTCAACAAACGCTCTCGTCGTACAAATTCAGACGGGCGTCGTTTTGCATGTCCATACCACCGGAGAAACGCAGTGAAATATCATACTGGAGCCTGTAACGGTAAAGGGTTTGAGAATATTTATCGGCTAAAGTGAGTCTCCTTCGGAACGCGTCGGTCATCAGTCGACTGGTGCCAGCGTGATTGCCCTGCTTCTCAGATGAAAGCTAATCCCAGGGTAATAGATCGCACTTGAAGAAGCAACACTCCCGAGCGGGGGGACTTGCATTGGTGCCATATCTGCCAGGCGCGATTTTCCCATGACAAGATCAGGGACCATAGTCCTTGTGTAAAACGAGAGCGGGCGACCGACTATGAGGAGGGCTTCGACGCTGTTCAGCTTGGGAAACTGGATTCAGACGAGATGCGTGTAGGACAGACTTCCGGGGAGGAATGCTGGTACGCAATCTTCAAGATGCTGTTTCCCGACTGGCCCGAGAACGAAGATATGCCCAGTCCGTGTAAGTCTTCCAGGTTTTATACAACCCCATCAACACTAAACCTAGGTTTCTATTGCTTACTTCCGCGTATCAGACCAAGATGACCAAAATAAGGTCACATTACCTTATCAATCCTGGATAGAATTCCGCGAGGGATTGGCGGGCTCGGACATAATCAATGAGATCATGAACTACATTGCGAACGGCCGCGGGGAACAAGGCGTTAGAGAGATTCTGGAGCGACGGACTGAGGAACTTTCAAGCCGACTTGGGCTCCCGCCCATGACTAGCAGGGGACAGGCCTACAATGCACTTGCTACTAACTTGGCCGTTATTCCTCAGCCCCTTTCTGCTGCAAACTCACGCTCCCGATCGACAACCAACGCCCTTCCATATGCGGCTCCTTCGCTGCCACTGTCCATGTCTGCAAACTTAGGGGAAACTCATTTCCAGGCCATGGTAAACAACCCCATAGGAGATCATCAAGGCTATGGCCAATATTTGCCCCTCCCGGATCAATCCCATTTCCAGGGGAATCCCATCCAGGACCACCATGGCTCATTCAATCCCCATAGCACAGCCATGTCGAACTCCGGCCTAGGCACCAGCTCGTTTGTTGAAATACCTACGACCGGATCTCATATTTATATGGAAAATACAGATTCTTTTGAATATTACCAGAGTGGTCGTGGGCAACGGGGAAGCCTGAACAGCAGCAGCAGTGGTCGGGTACCATTATCGACATATGTGCGGGCAGGCGGCGACCCCAGTGGAACTCAACCGACAATGTCTCATGCTACGAACAATCAGCGCCTGGCCTTGACCTACCCTGGACATGGAGTCCCCTTGCCTCAGCCGTGGCTAACACCAATGGAACTTGGGCAGAATGTCATAGCCGAACCTGCGCCCCGTGGGCGCAACGATAACCACAACAATGTTGGTGCCCAATCTCAGGCTAAGTCGGACCCCCCCCTCACCACCACCCCCCCCTTTCCGCCACCCCAAATTCCACACCGCCATTTCCATATTCCCAACTTCAAACATCCATTTCTCCACTATTTCAGTTCTAATCCATTTCAAATTCTACATCCCACTTCTCTTATTAAATATAACTTTATATACTAAAGAAGACTTACAGCACACCCTTAATACCATCAACAATAGGATATCAAAGTCTAAAGCTTCTAAGGAATAGGGTATTCCAATAACAACTATCAGAGACCATCTACAAGGCCACCAGCTAAGAAAGGAAGCCTTTTCCAAATTTCAGAAACTCAATACTACCCAGGAAACCCATCTAACCTCATAGGTCTTAACCCAAGGAGCCCTAGGACTTTCCCCAACCCATATACAAGTCCACTCCTTTACAGAAAGGATTCTCAGAGCCCAAGGAAACATACAGCCACTTAGAAAAAGATAGAAGGATTTTTAAAAAGAAACCTATCTATTAAAACTATAAAAAGGAAATTTATTAATTCTACCTATATTAATAATACTATAACTAAAATAATAAAGCTTTAATTTTAATACTTTTAACTATTTAATATTAAAAATATTAAATAAGAAAATAGATAAAATACTAATAAAATAAAAATAATAGAAAACTATATTAATAATAAACTTATTTTTAAAAATATTAGAAAATATTTAATCTAAAAGAAATAACTTAGTTCTTAGCTATAGATATTATTTATTAAATATATCTTAATTACTAGCTAAGCTCTTTTTCTATTAATTATTTTTAAAAGAAAATTAATTTAATAATAATAATTTTTATTAAATTTAACTTCTTTTAAAGACTAGTATTTTATAATAATTAATAATAAGTAAATAACTAATAATATTATTTTAAAATAGCTTAAAAAGATCTTTATCTTTTATATTAAGCTAGCCTATTACTAGAAAATCTATCTTCTTATCTTAAATAGCTATAAAAGTTATACTATAAAGGAATTTATATATAAATATTTTTAATATAATATCTACTTTCTTTTTTTATTTCTATATATATCTTATATCCTCTAACTATTAAATCTAGCTATATTTAGCTCTCTAAAAATAATATATTAAAAAAAAGTTAACTTTTTAGTTTTAATTATTATTTCTATAATAATAAAAAAAAAAACTTATTTTTTTATTATTATAAAATTTAAAATAATAATTTAATTAATAAAAATATTAAAAATAAATTTATAATATTTAAATTTTAGCTTATAAATATAATTAAACTTTTTTTTAATTTTTTTATTTTTTTAAAAACTAATTTTACTATAAAAATAACTTCCTAAAAATAAAATTTCTATTATTAAAGCTTTTTAGATATCTATTTTAATTCCCTAACTACTTTTTATAATTTTTAATAATTTTATTATAATATAATTAATCTTAAAAAAAACTAAAAACTTTTAAAAATATATATACTAATCTAATTTTATTAATTAATATACTACTATATAATATTAACTATTCTAAAAAGTTTTTAAAGCTTTTAATAAAAAAAATATCTAATTAGCTATAGCCTAAGCTAGAATTTAAGCTCTAAAAAGCTAAATTATAATAATAAAGCTTAGGAAAAAGAAGAAGATTAAAATAAGTTTTAATTTAAAGTTTATTATTATTAAAAATATATAGAGAATAATAAAAAATAATTTAGAAGAAGAAATTATTTCTATTAGAAGTAGTAATAGTAAAAGTAATAGTTTAATAGCTTTATGTATTGAAGTAAGGTGAAATATAGAAGAAATAGAAGATGGAAGATGGTGGTGGCTATCTGGGCTGTTGAAATTTGGGGTGGTGGAAAAGGGGGGGTGGCGGTGAAGGGGGGGTCCAACTTAATGAGCACAATTATAGACCACAGCCATGGAAATAAGGTGCTATGGGATCTTAGATCTTAGACTGAAGGTTAGATGATAGAATTAGATTGGGTAACTTAGTTTCTTCTTTATATTATATTGTAAATGTTACGAGCCTTTTTTCCGTTCTCTCGGAGGCTCAACCCTGATTACCTTGATGCCACTTTCGAGTAGGGTACGATGCTCTTTTAAAGCCCCCTGCCCGAATTTACTTTAATTTATTTTTCTTCCTTTACTTTGTTCTTCCCTTTTCCAGTCTATCTAGTGTTGGAATGCGACTGGCGCGGGAATTGGTCTGGACTGAACGTAGCAATGGATAAATCCAGTTGTTTTAACCGCCACCATTCGGGATTCATCGCCGAGTTGTTCGTTCTCTTAATTGCCACGAAAAAAAAAACCGCCTGCTGCCCGCCCACCCTAAAAAAAAAAAAAGATCAACCTAATTTTACTCCTCAGTTTTTATGAAAACTACCAAACCTGAAAATGCTCTCGAGATCTTTGGCTGCTCTCGTCTTCACGGCCGCCGCCGCCAGCGCCACGGTGCACCTCTGCGGTGACAGTACGATGGCCCGCGGAAACGGTATAATCGACGGATGGGGCCAGTATCTGCAATATTCGCTAAATGAGCCCGTAGTCAACCACGCCGTCGGTGGGCGTAGCGCTCGATCGTTTACGCGAGAGGGCAGGTTCGACGAGGTGCTTGCGCAGGTTGAGAGTGGGGATTTCGTAGTAATCGAGTTCGGCCATGTACGTTTGTTTCGCCGCCCCAAGGTTCAACTTGGCACCATATTCCTCGCTTGCTCACTCATTTGTTCTAGAACGACGGAGGATCTCTCAATAACGACAATGGAAGGTCCGCTTGCTTCGGAGATGGGGGGGAGACATGTTCAACGGTCTACAAGTAAGCTTGTCAAAGAGACTTTTCGCGGTGTTGTCTGGTGGGCAGATGAAATTAACGGCTCTCTAGCGGTGTCTCGGAGACGGTTCACACATTCCCGTGGTACCTTAAGCAGGCTTCTACGAAGTTCCTTGACAAGGGAGCCAATGTCATTCTCTCAGAAACGACTCCCAACAACCCTTGGTAGTCAGGGTCCTTCGCCTGGGCGCCATCCCGCTTTTTCTATTACACGTGGCTCGCGGCTTCTCGGCTTGGGGGACCAGCCAAGGGAGTTCATTTCGTACCACATGGTCAGTACACGGCGCAGGCGATGAAGAATGCGGGTGCTGCTGTTGTCAACGCCGGGTTCCCGCAAGATCATACCCACACGAGCCCGTCCATGGCGGACTTTGTCTCTCAAGCCTTCGTCTTGGGATTAGCCTGCGGAACAAGTGACCTCAAGGCTGCACTAAAGAATTCGACGGCCGATTTAACCTCGGGCCCTCTCGGCCAGTGCGTCAGCGACTACAACTCCACTGTTACTGGACTGTTGAGGTAGACTCAGACTCGGGGACAGAAATATTCGGTGGCTTTAAATATACGTCTTCAAATACGATATTAATATAATTGCCATGCTAAGAGTATTGGGCTAGGGACTGTACTAAATGCTGTGTGCCGTGAGATATATTCTAGGTGATCCCCTAGAATAGGTGGCGTACTCCCTTTATATTCTGTGTCGTGGGTCGCCCCAAGACGTGAAAGGTTGTCACCATCGGGTAAGAACTCTACGGACACATCCCGCCCAATTTCCGACAAACTAGATACAAAGACCCGCACGTCATTCAGGGACAGGTCTTCCTTAATACTGGGTTATATCTCGGTAGGAAAAATGCGCAGAGTATGGTGTTCAGCATCCCCGTATTACTCTTTCACATCTATGCCTGCCGCTTTCCATACAATCTTACACGTCCCTCAGATCACAGCCCAGGGAGTGTCAAGAATACCATAACCTCTGGGAAATGACCTCGTACCAAACCGCTTGCCAGGTTGTCTTGCACCATAAGCCACTTCCCTGTGCGACTCGGGAGACCTACCATATCCTCACATACGTTCCCACCCCGTTAGCCCGAGTCTGATATACAACAGCATTGCATCGCCCGTGATGAAAGGGTTATTTTGATAAAGTCACCAATACTCATGGTCAAACATCCCACAAGATCGGCCTAAATGGGCCGGGACGGAGATCCTGGGTCTTTTCAAGATTATTTTAATAATCCTGCATTTTTTTTTCTGGTTTTTCTTCTACTAAAGATTGTGCGTGCCTTTCGACAAAGTTGCGACCTCCTATAACATACGTGTACGGCACATCATCGATTATTTAAGCTCACGCAAAGAGAATAAGTGATATGGAACAAAGTAAGTTTTAAATGTTCATATGATATCTTGATCCAACCAGTCAAGACTCACGTCACAGAGAGATTCTCTGTCCTATTAAATTCCATCCCTCAGGTAGGACAACGAGCGGGGAAGCATGGATAATGAAGGGGAAAGGGGAACTTAGAAGTATACACACCAGAAGATTCCTTGTCAAGTGCAGCCAAACCAGATTACCCCTCACGATTCCAATTTGCCAAAGGGATCTAATATTCACCCCTTCTGGCTGCCGGCAAGCGAAGGCGGAACCCTCGCAGAGTGTTGAAACTCAACAAACACTGAACACCATGTCCACAGCCCCATCATCTTCCAAGCCCCGCATTATTCTTGGTCTTATGACCTTCGGGCCCGACCCATCGCGGGGTGGCAGGATTACGGACCTCGATGATCTTGCAAAGGCCCTGGACATTTTCCAACAATGGGGATACAACGAGCTCGATACTGCCCGGAGCTATCTTGGAGGCAAGCAAGAGGCATGGACTCGTGCAGCTGGGTGGAAGGAGAAGGGGATGACCATAGCGACCAAGGTGTATCCCAACCCCGCGGGAAACCATAAAGCTGAGGTCATCACGGAAAGATTTGAGACAAGCTTGAGAGAGCTCGGGACGGACTGTGTAGATGTAAGTTTTTTCCTGGGCGGAACGGCACTCTAAGGTGTTACCATTGCCCTAACTAGTTCTAAAGATCGCATATCTCCATGCTGCCGTAAGTATCTCATCCACTCCTTCAGGACCTGTTTGAATGTGTGGGGACTTATATAGCGCCCAAGGATCGATCGGTCCCATTTGCTGAAACGTTGGAAGCCATGGACAAACTCTACAAAGCAGGGAAATTCCGAAAATTGGGCCTCAGTAACTTCACTGCCTTTGAAGTCGCTGAAGTCGTCATGACATGCAAGTACAATAATTGGGTCCGACCGACGGTGTACCAGGGCATGTACAACGTTCTGCTGCGATCTATTGAGCCTGAGCTTATCCCAGCGTGCAGAAGATACGGCCTGGACATTGTGGTCTATAACCCCATTGCCGGCGGACTATTCAAGCGGGAGATACAAGACAAGGACCAGATTCCCGCAGAGGGTCGGTTTTCAGATGTGTGGAAGGGATGGCAGTCTCGGGGTCGCTACTACAGGGACTCCACGTTCGAGGCGTTGAGGCTGGTGGACAAGGTCCTCGAGGACCATGGTATCACGATGATTGAGGCTGCACTCAGATGGCTCATGCACCATTCTGCTCTGAAGATCAAGGATGGGAATGACGGGGTCATCATAGGAGTGTCCAAGCTACACCATGTGGCAGACAACCTCGCGTACCTGGAAAAGGGCCCACTTTCGGAGGAGGTTGTCGAAGCTTTGGATGCAGCATGGGCCGTGGCAAAAGGGGGAGCGGCGAACTACTGGCACCTCGACTTGAAGTACACGTATGATACAGAAGCGGCGCTGTTTGGAGGAGAAGATGGAAATTAAATTTGCAAGCGAGGAATCCACCAAACTTGACAGAAGAGTATCGCGAGGTAGTATGATGCTTTAATATATCTTTGGAAGTTGTAGTAAGGAGGGTAGTATGACTCTTGGCATTTAGGAGCACAGTCATTATTACTTAAAGGGAGCCCTTGGCGGTGATCATCCCAAAATCAAAGAATCTGCCTGATAAGGTCGACAACAACACAGGGCGGATAACGGCGTAGCTAGATGCAGGCGTAGGTGCTATTCAAGAGACGAAGAAGGACTCGCGAGTATTACGGAGAATGGTAACGACGTCCGGACGGAACCTATACCCGATTGCAAATAACCCATCTAGGTCCGTGGTCTCGTTGCACTCTATCGCCTATGTAAAACTAACAAGCAGTGGGAACCGTCTAGATCATTGCATCGAGATCATTCGCCAAGTAATTTCCCGTTACGGAGATACTGGCCTAATAACCTTCCACTGGGTGGAGGGAAACCCAGTTCCCTATCCTGACTTTAATACATGGCATCAATGTCGAGATCCTGAGGAGATCTTGGCTTGGTCCCAAGCACGCGAGACACAATACCATGAGAAACTGAGAAAGGGCTGGTTCCCTAACCCAGTAGAGTGGCATCATGCGCCGTGACAAGACCAAACCTTTGGAATGAAAGGGCCTCAGCCTAAGATCTACCAGATGCTTGGTTAACGCTCAGTGAGCAGAACTGGGCAAAAGAGTCACAGATAGCTGGCATAGCCCAAATGGTTGAATAAATAGGGAGAAAAAAAATTGAAAGCAAAAAACAGCATACTGCAGACTTGTCAATTTATCCCATGAATACGAGATATAGCACAGTTTCTGCATGTTTCGCAGAGCTCAGCGCCTCATTTCGGTGTATTCATAGTCCAGTCCCATAAATCAACCTGAGGAGACCATTGATTGCCCAGTTGGGCTGCGCACGTGCCATGGATGCGTATTTCGATATTTGCCCGACTTCGGTCGGGGCAGGGGCTGTGGCGTGGCATTGGTGATCCAACCGTGGACAAGAATGACCCCAGCCGAGACTCGCTCGACACATTGGACCTCCACAAAATCATCCTGGGACCCCACTTCGACGCCGACATGGCTTGTCACCAAGCCCATAATATCCCGTGGAGTGTCCTCGCCTCGCAATTTACATACAAACACTGCAACCGCAGCGACGGGGGCCGCACCAACCTCTACCCACGATTCAAGGACAACCCAGGAAAAGAGCTGCGCTACTTCGTGAACGCCCTGCATCGAACCATCGCCTCCCACGGCGAAGTTGAGCGTCTTCAGCAATACGCGAAAGTGTCCGTGCCGCCCGAGCCAGATGACGTTGTTCTAACGGATGATGTCGTGAAGCGTATCGGCCCATCCCTTCATCATGCAATCAAGGAATTGGATTTCCGAGATGAGTTCCATCCATCCCTTACCCGGATCCCCACCAGGTTCGCGAAGATGCGCGCTTTTCTTCATTCCAGGGAGGATGAGTATGGATGGACCGGACACGGTACCTTCTTCAGCATCGAGCTGTTCAAATTGCTGATCCTATACGGTGAGATGGAAACTCTCCAGAAAATCTGCGGCCACCCTGGGGCAAAATGGATTGAAGTTTGGGAGAAGCACCGTGATGCAGATGGCGATCCGAACACCTGCGGATGGTCCTATGTGCCGCGACTGGCGCTCAAGGCCTATTTATATCTCAACCTCCTGCTCTGCTATCCTCAGTTGTGGGATTATGGCAGTGGCCGCTCCGCCGAGTCGGACTACAGGAACACTAAATCCTACCAGGGGATGCTCCGAGAATGCACCAGGTCTGACTTATCTACAAACATTGCTGCGCTTCCCCACCGTCAATTTTTCGGCATCCCAGAAAACCAATTCTCCCGCTATCCGTGTCCACGAAAGGGAGGGAAACACAGACACCTTTTCCACGAACATTACGGCAGGGATGGCTACCCGTACGGTATGGTGCCGTTCGACGACTTCTTGGAGTTTGAGGCCAAGCTGGAGTACCAGCCCACAATCTCGGATGTCTCTCACGTCCGATGGTGTCTGTGCAAGCTTGGCTTGCCGACCGAGATGGCAATTCAAATTATGGATTTCGCGGGCTACGTGCCCAAGAGGCGCCTGGAGAAGGCCCACGATCCACTACACGCATCGAACAGGGAGGAACTGTCGAAATACCTCAACTATTGCTGGAACATCCTCGTCCGCTGCGACGTCGTGGCAAAGTGGCTTGGGGACGAGATACCTTGGGATCAAATGATACCAGAGGCACTGATACTTTCTTTTGGTCGAGGGTGAGGGAGAAAGTTCTACGAGCAGAGTTACGACGATGTGGACCGTGGATTCCGTGGGCACGAGAACATTATATACACATTTTCGTAACAGACTCCCCGCGGTGCCAAAGCTAACAAATTCGATGCGTAGTCCCAATATATATATGGATCTGTTATATCCAGCAAGTGGGCATATCTCATCCCTCCCACCTCGACAAAATACTACCTATATTTTCATCTATTAAGTTGGACCCCCCACTTATCATCACCCCCCCCTTTTCGTCACCCCAAATTTCAACAGCCCAAATAGCCACTATCATCTTCTATCTTCTATTTCTTCTACATTTTACCTTACTTCAATACATAAAGCTACTAAACTATTACTTTTACTATTACTACTTCTAATAAAAATAATTTCTTCTTCTAAATTATTTCTCCTTAATCTCTATATATCCTTAATAATAGTAAACTTTAAATTAAAACTTATTTTAATTCTCTTCCTTTTCTTAGGCTTTATTATTATAATTTAGCTTTTTAAAGTTTTAATTTTAATTTAAGCTATAGCTAATTAAATATTTTTTTTATTAAAAGTTTTAAAAACTTTTTAAAATAGCTAATATTATAATCCTAATACTAGCTTATTAATAATATTAAATAGATATAACTAATAATAAGATTAAAGTAGTTATCTATTAGTAATAAAGTAAATAGTATTAAGTAAATATAACTAATAATAAGATTAAAATAGTTATCTATTAATAATAAAGTAAAGTAGTTAACTAGTATTTATAAGATATAAGTAAAAAGTATATATTTAAATATAAAAGTATAATAATACTTAAATTAACTATTAAAAAGTCTTAAAA